TAATCGCGTACATGATAAATTCAGTAGACTTTAAAATTTTTAATTGTGCACAACCGCGTTAAACAAGAGCTTAAATGGAACTGGATTTCTGAAGTGGATAGGCTAAGCAATGAACACCAATTAGGCTCATATTATATACGTTTGAGTGTTTTGCCCAGACTTTTTTGAGCTAAATATGGTATTTTTAATTTGATAGTGGACTTACGAAACTTCCGTTTTTGTGGACTCAAAGAAATATGCGCCGTTGTACTTTGCAAATCGCAAAAGCTTAGATATAGTAATATGCTTTTGGGAACCATTTTTTCACAATGCAGGGAACAGCTTGGTGATTATGTTTGTAAATGTGGAATACGTATTCTGGACTAGTTTTGAAAACACAATTTGTTAAATGTGCTGTGGTAGTTTATTATATAAAACATACAGATTTTTGGAATACATATAGATTTCTTTTAATTTTTATTAAACATCATTGTCCGATTGGCAGATAAAATGAAACAAAGTGCGTGGTGTCCAAGTGCTCATTTCACCGTTCCTCAATTTAACGTGGTCGTAGTCCGGATTTGGTTGATATGCTCCCCACTTCAAAAAATTGGCTACCTGGCCCGAGGCTGTAGATTCAAAGCGAGAGTCCTTTAATCGAAGGCCGAGCCAGTAATTCTTTGACTCTTCAAGCTTAGGTAGAACGGCGTCAAGTTCCTCTTGGTTTTTAAACGAAGCCAAATAACCTCCCATTTGGCGACACGTGCTGTCGGCAGAGTCCCAATCTTTCAGTTGAGTTTTCTCGATGTAAAAGTATCTGGAACGAATCTTCTCGAATTTTGGGGGGATGTTCTTAGAACAAATCTCCTGTCGGTCACGCAGGGCATTTTCAATGTTGTTTATTTTTAGATCCACATTCCTCAGTTTTTCTTCAATCCTGTCCAGCTGAGTTGTGTTGCCTAATACAGCCAGGCAAAGCAGCCCCAGAGTTATAATCGTGAACATAATAAATTCAGTAGTCTTTAAAATTTTTAATTGTGCACAACCGCGTTAAACAAGAGCTTAAATGGAACTGGATTTCTGAACCCGATAGGCTAAAAGACGAAGACCACATATAGTATCGTGTTATATATGTTTGACATATCTGCGCTATAAAAAAGTATTGTTAATTTGATAATGGAATTGCAAAACATCCGTTTTTGTGGTCTCAAAAAAATATTCGCCGTTCTTTTTTTTTTGCAAACCTCAAAAACTTTGATATGGTACAATAATATGCTTTTGGGATCCATATTTTCTCAGTGCAAGGAACAGCTTGGTGCCCCATTATTCCAATCAGTTAAATGATGTTTGTAATTTCACTTGACAACCCTGACGTTCGCTTTTATGTGCCCTTCCCTCACGAGGCCCCCTGTTACCTAAACATATTTTTTAATGACTTAACAATTGATGGCTTTTTGGGTCGTCGTCGCAGCAATTGCGTTTTTACGATGGCTCTCGAAAGGCAAAGACATGAGCTTACATCGAACGTCGGAAAACCTACCCCAACGCCCTTTAATCCTGCTTGTCAGAGGGAAAAGCGAGCGAGCGAGCGAGTGAGCGAGCCCATCAATAATAACGTAAACATTTTCCCAAATCGCTTTACAATTTGCCCAACAGAAAGGAAAAGAAAGGCGCACATTTTCCGGCTGAGCCCTTCCTTTCAAGCCTGCTTTCCGAGTCTGAGCTATTATTGTTATCAGCATGTAATCAGCAGCGAGAGAAGGAAAACTCACAGGGAAAACTTTGCCTTCGTAATGCGAGTGTCGACTGCAAAATGCCGGGACTGTCAACGAATTTCGTCCTTGGACTTTCTCCCAGGACTTCGATCTGCTAACTTTTCCTCAATTTCGCCTGCATTTCGGGCTTGTCTTTCCGTTCAGTTTGCTTTCCCCTTTTCAGCTATGCAAATCTGCCTGGAAAGTTTTCAATTGCCTATGGAAAATAGATGAGGTTTGCGACTTCCAATTTATGGCTTTAAAACTGTGCTTTCAACTTTCTCGGCAGATAAAATTCTATTTTTAGTAGGTGGCCTTGAGCCGCCCTATTAAATATGGAAATGCGCAAAAGAAACTGTAAGCCATGTTAATTATTTTTATGCTAAAACGTAGGCGGCAAAGACGGAACCCAACAAGGCAGTGCTGATTGCATTTTGCAGCTGGAAAAACTGGTGCGATTTTCCCCTCCGCTTACTCGATTTTCCCGCTGCTTCACCCTCAAATATCCCTTCATTATTTTAATGAAAGACCCGGTCAAAAGGCGAAACAAAAGCGGAGAACGAAAGCGAACATGAACTTAATTTGTAGCTACAATGAAAAGGAAAATTCGGTCGGAGAAAGCCAAGTTAATTTTCGGTGAAAATTGAGAGGAATTAGAGCTGGCAAGGATATGGGGCGATTTTAAATGGTGGCTTTAATGACGTATTCTATTTCAGCTTGAAATTCCTGACTTCTGACAGCTGCTTTTGCTCCTAGTTTTAACTTTCCACCCACTTGGAAAATCATTAGGCGGCGGGGAAAATGAGGGGAGAAACTCTGCCTAGTGGCAGGTTATTAGTGCGATTGTGAGTGCGGGTGTTTGTGCGTGACTGCAGCAATTTGCAGCCCACAATGATGATGATGAAGGCCACATTGCGTATACGCATTACGTATACGCCACCGGTTTCAGCAGTTATGGGACAACTTTTGACTGCAGCATCAGCATCAGTCAACTTGCCTAGCGTCAGCCTAAAACGTTTTCCACTGATTTGTTTTCTTATTTGGGCCGCCAATCAATTTTCATTGGGGCTGAGTGGCAATTTGAGGGCCTCAGATAAATAAAAATAAAAAAATAATTTGGCAGCCTACCACGCCCCCTGAGGAGCTGCCCGCCTCGTCTTGCGAGAGCTGTTGTCGAAAAAGTTTTTCAGAACTTTTCCTCGGAAACTTTTCAACTAATTGCATTACAAGCGGAAACGTGCACACACACAGCGCACACATACATACGCCCTCTCACTAATACTCGCACGCTGGAGCACGGCACGTTTCCGTGTCAGTGCTGCTTAATTAACAGCGCCACGGTCTGGGATCCTAAAAGGAAACTGAGTCCCTGTGCATGTGTGCCCCGTCTACACAGCAAATTGAAATTTAATAAATATATTTATTCGATTAAAATTAGTAAACGATGCCTATTAAATTGCAATAAAAAAGGCTATGCTATATGCTTTCTAAAATAATACAGTTTTGTTAAGCATACTTTTTCACTGTAAATAGTTTACAAGCATGCTTATAAAATTTAACAATTTTCTTAAAGGTGAATAAAAAATCTATGATAGTTGGAGATATTAAACTTTCGCAAACAAAGTTGTTTTCAGTGTGTTAAATGAACAGCTCTCTTTGCCCTACACACACACACATACACATGCAGTGACTAAGGGCAGCGAGGCGAGCATAATAAACTAAGCTCTCTTTGCCGCTGCTCTTGCTCCTGTCCGCTGATGAAGTTGATTTAATTGCGCTTATGAGCGCCCCTGCTCCCCGTCCCCTTTTCCCCTGCTCTCATCATCGTTTCCCGCACCCACCGAGCCATTTCCACCCACCACCCCCTCGTCAGCTGCCGCTTGCCTTGGCGACATCATTTCGCCATTTGGCCCGTGCCCCCAAACCCACCTGACAGGTGTTTCCATCCAGCCCGAGCTTCCTCAGCCAGTTTATGGCGTGTCCCACATAAATATTGTATGTGAAATAAATATGATCCCGCGGCGCTCGGGGAATTTCATATAGAGCTGAAATATTTCAGCCTCACACGTGCACAGGAAAAATAGCTGTGCATGCAGCCTTTTTAATTGTCGCCAGGAAGAAAATTTAAGTTTATGAGACAATAAATAAATAACTAGTTCTGGTTTTGGTTCTTATAAGTAAGAAAACCAAAGGAGTTTTCAGTTTTAAGTATTTTATTAAGCGAATCGTTATTAATATTTCAATGCATTTTAGCAAGTTTCAATGATTTCCTATAATTGAGTTGCTCTTGACAAGAGACATCTTCCATTTGATTTTACATCGACCCGTTCGCTCTGTGCACTCCTTATTCCTCTGAGGAATCCAGTGGCATCGATTGACGATTAACCACAATTTTTCCGTGCAGCCATCATCCTCGTTGGGATTTAAAGAGCTGATAGACGGCCGCACTTCGACACCCACGGCAAGGCCACATGTAAATTAATAAACTTGTAAATTTTTAATGCACACAAGCCGAGAAGGGAGGAGGCTGTCTCCGAGTTGATTAGGTGGGTGGCTCGGTGGTGGCCCGCCGCCAATCAAATCCGCCGGAAGTGCTCCTCCTTCCGCCTTCCTGTGTTTTCCGCTTCACAATGGACGTGCGCTAGGCTCGAATGGCTTTCTAATTAGTTCGTTCGCTTTGACGATGATCCTTGAGGCCCTCGGAGTCCTCGGCCTTTGTTCTGGCGGTCAATCAATAAGGTTTGCCAGGCCTCGACCTCGACCCGAGCATGTTAACCCTCTGAAGGCGCCTTTGACACGACGCCTGCATACCAGGATGCCTCCATTAGGGCTCATAAAATCTCGTTTAATCATTAGCATGCTGATGGGTATTGTCGGCATTGGCGATTATACGTACTAGCTGCTTTTTGTGAATAATACGGCTTCCATTGGTTAAATAGTTGAGCGGTAGTCTTGGCTTCCCAAAATTCATTTAAGCGATTAGAGCCGGCTCCCTGGCTAATCATTTATTGACGAAAATACAAGTCGGGAGTGTTTAACCAAAACACAAATTGTAAGCAATAATTAAAAGCAATATAAACTATTATTCCTTTGCGAAATTGCCACTAAATGTATTTATTTTTAAGCCCTAGGTTATTTACAATTTGGTTTATTTAGGATTATTAAATGTACATATATTCCTTGGCCCAAATGGGTTAACTGCCCAATATCTAAAAGCGGCATCGAATACTCATCTCGTCCTCGTGTCCCCTCTCTTATCCCTTCCAGCTGGGCAACCAGGAGGCCACTTGGGTGGTGGCGGACTACATCGCCAGCTCGGGCACCAATGAGCTGAGCGTGAGCAAGGGCCAGCAGGTGGAGATTATCGAACCGCCCACCGCCGGCGAGCCGGACTTCTGCCTGGTGCGCCTCAATCCTCAGCACGACGATGCCGCCGTGCAGGAAGGACTCGTTCCTGTCTCAGTGCTCAAACCGCCGCCGGGCGCACACAAACACGGTTCCGGATCCGGATCGAATGCAACCGGAGCAGCGGGCTCACAGAAATCCGACATGCAGGATCAGGGTAAGCCGCTTGATTTTTGTTTTTTAATTTCTTATATTTTACTAATTTTTTGTTCTTTTTGTTTTTAGGTAATCGCAGCAAGGCGGATGCCTTATCATCGTCCACCAAACGACGCGGTTTTAGCGGGTGAGTAATGAAAACATAAAAAATAAGTTCCAGATTGTGAAAAATGATAAATACAACATGAAATAATATTAGAATTATAATTTCTGAAACCACGAAAGTTTATTTTTTAAGCTTTTTTTTACCCTTATCTTTTCTGATACACACAATGCTCCACGACCGTTTTTAAAAGTTTTTGATTGTTTCAAAAAATGTTGCCTTCAGATAAGGAAACTCCAAAAGTGCCCTTAAGATTTTTAAATATTTATAATATAATAAATCAAAAAATAAGTCTGGTCTGAAGCTTTGAAGTCAAGTCTGTGTATTAAATTAATTAAGATTTGTGTTACTAGGAAATCAATTTGTTTTCCTAATATTGTCAGTTGCTTATTTATAACAACAAGCATACCCTTTATCTGTCTTGTCTGTTTAGTAGGTCAGAGGCGCAAAAACAAATTCATGAATCCTTTTATAATATAAATCAACCCGTAGTCCGAATTCGTCAGTTGGGGAACCAGATAAACAAATTGTCTATTTGCCCATTGCACTTATTATACCCTTTCAGTCAGAAGTTTGCAATGCACTGAAGGAGACACCACAGACCCCATGAAGTATACTTTTTTTACCATAAAATGATTTTTCTCATAAATAGAAGAATGCTTTGAGTTAATCCATTTCTTAGGTGTCACTTTTCAATGGCTCATTGTCCAACTTTTCAAAAAATAAGTAAACAAAAATTGAAATTATCCTGGGTTCGTGTTCCACTTTGTTTTGGATTAAGTTGCTCTGATCTAATGACTCATTTGAATCCATGATACGAGCAGTGAGACTCATGCTTGGAGGATGGAGATAAAAGTCGAATATATGAGTAGGGATTTCCCATACTATCTTGAATACGTCGATGAGTAAAAAATTTGACTTATTTAAAATGTGGAAAGTTATAATTTACGTTTATAAACATTTTCGTATATAGTTAAATGCCGAGTAGTTGATAATGGTTCTAAAAATAAGAACTACTACAAATGGTCCACTGTTATTGTAAAAATGAATTTCGATTAAACGTGTGAGTTATATAGGTATACTAACATTTTGCGCTGGGCCTCTTAATCGCGTGTCGTATAGCTCAGGCGCAAGTCATAAAGATATAAACCCATTTATACTGAACAGTGCGAAACAGTAACAGCAATATCAACAGCAGTTATGAGAAGTTTAGCTCTGAGCGGAAAAAAGCTCGGAATCACTCAGCTGCTCCCAGTTCTTATTATTGTTGCCTTTTGTTTTCCGCTCTTTGAAGGCGAGTTTCTTACACTTTGAAAAAGCCCAGAAAAAGTAATAATCTATCCAATAAAAGCATTCAACAAATCTAATTCGTGCTGGGTAAGGTTTTTATTAAGCACTCACCTATCAATTTATTGTATTTAAGATTACAAAAATTTGTTTATTTATGAAACCATTTATTGTAAAAAATTCTCCAAAAATGGAAACAAACTTATTGAGTTAACTATTTTTGAAGTGTGCTCTCCCTTGAGTTCTCACCACATAATGTGGTTCCCAAGTTCGAGTTTTTTTTCGTGGGTGTGCGAGCTCGCGTTGCTTTTTCTCCAGAAATCGAAAGCCCCACAGGGAGAACCTTTACTTTACATTACTGCTCGCAGTCGGCTTTTGGCTCAGTTTATGATTAGACACAGTACTGAAAGCGTCTTTCGTTTTGCGGTGCCGGTATTTTAGCGGGTTAAAACAATTAACGCCACAGTGTTTGAAGTGCTCACCTCGGCGGTTCGCTTATCTGGCATGTGCAACAATAACAACAGTGACTGCGGCCACCGGAGCCGGTTAGATAAGATGGCCGAAAACGGATTTCATTTTGAAAATGCCACCGCAGTGCCAGAAACCGATGACTTTTGTGGCGGTGACCAGTGCGATAACAACAATGTGACTTCTAATCCTAATTCCAATTCGCAATTCTACCATACGCTCCAAATGAAACGCAGTTCGGCTCCCACCCGCACTCGATCCAAATCGATACCCAAGCTGATCAAGTCCATATCGCTGAGGGTCTCCGAAAGCGGAAACGGATCCGCCCCCGTGCTCCATCACCAGCAATCGCTGGGCGAAAAGTCGGGATTCACCTGTGTTTGCTGCGAAAATGCCGCCGATAAGAAACATAGCTCCAAGCGAGGCTCATTTATATTCAGGTTAGAAAGAAGTGTTTGTTGAAACAGCTGACAGATTATTTATAATATTTGAATAGTTCATGATGCCAAAGTTTTCAAAAGCCTAGAGATTTATATTCATTATGCAAATAAGAGTAAAAACAAATGCTTGATTTACTTTCTGTCTTATAACTGAAATAAAGTACTCTTTGGATTAGTTCAGCTTCTTACTTAAGTATAGGTTTCAATGTTTTTCCAAGATAATTTAATACTTGTATTAGAACAAAGGAGAAAATAATCTTTCTCAGCCCGAAATTATATGTCTGGTTTCAGTTAGCCTCATGTTCAATTAGTCGCCCTCGTCTCAATTGCAATAACAAGCTCCTTGGATATCATGTGGCTCATGTTTTTCGTGCGGCTCATCAGCTTCTCAATTGCCCAACTTAAATCAGCTTTAATTCTGTTTTTGTTTTTGCCATACCTTGTTTTTTAGGGGTATACCGATTAAGCTACAATTTTCCAAGCACAAAAAGCTACTGTTAAATGTAGATTTAGCCTCGTATGAAACATCTTTTACGACTGCACTCATAAACTTAAAACGAATTGCGAATCGCTGATTTAACGCAGCAGTGATGTGCTAAAAGCGACTTTTAAATCGTTAAACTAAAGTATTACTGCTTTTCCGAGGTTGAAATATCATTTCTCGACAGTTATTGTGTTTTTTATTAAAGTTTAAAGTAAGCCAACTTAACAATAATTTCTGGCAGAGTATTTAATGTTTCAATAGCTGGGTGTCATATTTGTGCTTTCGTTTTCTGATGGCTTGTTTGTTTTGGAATGAGTAAGCCCCAGCAAAAGAAGATTAAGAACTGGGCTTGATTTATCGACATCAACGTAACAGGAGTCCGTCTGCTCGGTCCGGATAACTATATCGCTCATTATGCAGCTGCAGTCACAAATCCGGCACGTTCGTTTGCCGTGAAATAGACACGTTGTTTGTTGTTTGTCCAGCAGCAATTGAGCTTTATTAGTTTTCGGGTGAGATAAATGAGAATGAGGGGTTTGTCGTTACTTGCGACTCTCCCCGCAGCGTTATCTTTTGCTCCGAATGTTTGCGGAATGTTTATTTTGCTGGTTATTATATTTTTTTTTTGGGAGACTTATGAAAAACAAACGGATTGCTCTGTTTTGGGTCATCCTTTTCCCCACTCGCATGTTAATCACCGAAACAAACAGGGAATACCCAAAAACATTCTATAGCTTAGCAACCGGTTCCGTTTTTCCCACCGGCATGTGCATTAATTGCGCAATCATCTAATACAGCTTCGATCGAAAACCTGTTGTGCAAAAGCGCTGGAACCGATTAAATTAATTTCTGTGAGGTCTTCAAATGAAAAGTACTATTAATGTGATACCCTTGCCATTCACACGATATTGCCTTTGTCCTTTCTTACTCAGCATTGGACTTCGTCATTAGTTGTGAATATGGCTGGGAAGATAAGCGGCTGAGGAAAATACTTGAACGATAACAGACCGCGCGTATTAATCATACGTCTCGTGGGCCCGCAAAGAAAGAGAGCTGCCCGATTGACTTTTGATTTGTTTTGGTATCGAGACCGCTCCAATTGCTTGCCAGCGGTTTCTTATTATTACGCATTCGGGCGAAACTTTACTTTAAATAGCTCTTTTCCACTTTCGGTAATCTTATCGCGCTTACCATTAAATGCGGGAAAAACAACAGGCAGGTTCTCCTGGGAACTATTCTATATTTCTTTTCCATTCGCTTTCATTTCGTTTCTCCGTGGAATATACCCAACAACACTTTCAATATTTGCTCACTAATTGGGCTCTTTGTTTGCCGCTGGCTCACTCGAGTGAGCATTAAGTGATGGTAGTTCCTCTTTTTCTATGCGCCACATCTGCTTCTTCCTCGCCTTATTCCGACCAAACATGAATATAGATTATTGTCCAAGTCACCCACCAAATCCCCACAATCTCCTTCTCCTCCTCCGTCGCTCTCTATGGCTGTCACTTTGGTCAGGACTCTTTGTCTCAAGCACTGTGTCAATATGCGCGTGTGTTTGTCCAGGATATATGCAAAGAAACGGGGGTAAAAGGATCCTGCTCAGCGGCGCGTGCTGCCAAGTCCAATGAACTAAGTGGACTTGCCCTGCATTGGTATATGTATTCAAACCACACTCAAAGTCACTGGAAAAGTATTTCGCAATTTCACAGGAAAATGTGTGTAAATATTACACAATAAAATGATATTATGACTTGCACAGGCATGAAAGTCACCAACTACTTTCGAAAACCACGATTAACTTGGTTTTAAAATTAGGAAATGCTTACAAATTATTTTGGTTTATTAATCTAAATGATGAATAAATTGTTTTGGCTCACTAATTATTTTGGTTTCCTAATTTAAATGCTGAATAAATTGTTTTAGCTTACTAATTATTTTGGTTTCCTAATCTAAATGATGAATAAATTGTTATAGCTCACTAGAGTATTGCTAATTTGTTTGTGGTGGGCTTTTATCAAAATCCAATAAATTACTAATGTTCAAAATAAGTTTAAGAATTGTATACATTTTCCAAACAATATTTTTTCCGTGCACAATTTGTTTTCGAGCAGCAGGAGACGGAAACTGCAAATTTGCCGGCTAGCTTTGTTGCATACTTTGCGGCGACCCCATTAATACACACCCAAACAAACACGAGTACTTCTCGAACAGAAGGAGACACTTTGGCTATTTGCCTAAAACATTACATCAGCCAAATGAATTTTGAATGTGGACAAGCTTATAATAAATTAAATACAATTCCTGGAACCGAACGCTTCTCGTTCGTTCGTTTAATTTGACTGACCAGTTGCTGCTGTCCTTGCTGTCGAAAACCGCGTCCCCGTTCTTTGTCGTCTGTGTCAATGTTTATTTTTACTTCGAATTATGTTACATGCCATTGGGTTTCGCCTCTTCCCAACCACTTTGCATCACTCCTTTTGTTTTTTGTTTAATTGATATCGATTTTCGAAGCGTTTAAGTGAACCCGTTCGCTCGTTAATTAAGCTTAATTAATATTTTATAAATGGCACATTTGAACAGAGTTTAGTTTGCGGTTTTGCGGTTTTCTCCGCTGCACTTTCACCGACCAGAAATCCTTCCCTGCCGCCCGCGGCAATTTCCCGCCCCCAAATGAGCTGTTGAAACCTAAGCCATCTGCTGCAGAGGTCCTCCCCAAAACAGTGTTCACTGTGGCTGATTAATGACTCGGCTCGGCTCGGCTCACGAGAACTCGAAACTTGACCCATAAACTTTGCTCTCGCTGCAAATTAATCAAAGGAGCCTTGAAGGAAATATTTTTTTTACGGCAAATGCGGTAAAAACTTGAAGCATAAAAGCCCAAATGAAAAACGCATAAACGGAAATTTAGCTTTAAAATTGCGGAATCATAAAACCAATTGTGGGGAGCCCTTTAAAGGCCAAATGCTAATGGGAAAATGAATTATGCCCACTGTGCGAGCGGCGACACCCGAACAGCGGGCGCTTTTTGGCCAAGTTAGCAGCCGATGCTGGCGACAGTCTGATGTTGGCCACGCAGCTGGACAGCCATCAAGCATTTCCCTCGTTTTTTGTTCTATACGTATTTGTTCTCCTACTCGGCACGTCATGAGATGGAGGAACTTGTTCAGACCACAACGACCATTCGCAAGTTCCTGTAGGCTGTCGCACCTCGAGTGCTCCTCCTCAAGTGTGCAAACTGTCATTTAACTTTGGAATTGTTTCGAATTTTTTGTTGCAGGCGCAACTGGCTGCCGCTGATCAATCGCAAGGCATCGGACAAGCCGCCAAACAGCAAACCGCTGGTGAAGAAGCCGTCGGAGAAGAACCTGAGGGTGAGTGTTTGATTTAACGACTGTTTATTTATATCATTTGACGTCTCTCATCGCTTTTCTTTTCTTTTGCCCCTCTAGACGCCCCAGAAGCACGCGGAGGAGCTCGCCGAGCAGCAGAACCAGCAGCCAGGTGGCAGTCCCGCCACCGCGGTGCCTTCGTCCCACTTCCCCAGCTCCGCCCAACAGCCGGGAGGCGCCGGGGACTACGAGCCCGATGAGGAGGCCGGACTGGAGCTGCCGCCGCCCATGAAACCCATCCAGGAACCGCACCTGATTGCCAACGGACCGCCCGCATTTACCAAGGACGCCAAGGAGAACTCGGCCAATTTGGTGAGTAGCTAAGTCCGGTTGGGATTCGCTTAGATTTCCCCCAGGTTTCGATGGCGCTGGGTAATTTTTCAAGGCCAAAAGGAAATGTACACGATATCATTTATAATGATTGAGCAATTTTTCGCTACATAAATCTCATCTGATTTATAACAGGATTACAAGTTCAGTTAGGAATTTATCTAAATATTTACTCAGATTTTTTTTTCCGTTTTTATCTGTTATATTAGATGCCACCAGTTGTTATAAATATTTTTCTTTAACAACGCTTTAAATATTTTCTTTGAGATAAACCTTTTCCAAATGTTGACCCACTTTAACGTGAATGATTTTGCCTGTGCCTCAAGTCCGATCCGCTGGCTTGATGTTTGTTTGCTTAGCACGCAGCTCCCCTAATATGTGTTTCCCACACAAATCAAAGCGGTTTATTGTGACTTGGGCCCGTTCGACTCTTCTCCATCGACGTCATCGGCAATCCGAGCACGGTTTTTGCTCAATTAGAGAACAGAGCCCATTCTCCGGGGGACTGGGAATCCTCCACAGTTCGCCGGTTCTCGTTTCTCCGGGCCAGCCACCTTTGCCATAAATGCGCCACTTTATTTTGTTTACACTCAAAGCAGGAGAGTGAATAGACCACGCCACAGATACAAATATACTCGAGCTCCTCGCAGATACAACGCATAAATTTCGACAGTCAAATTAGCCCACAGACTTTGTCGGATGATTGTGCGTGGGGGCGGGACTTCCACTTGGATGGTACTTTTGAGAGAAAATTACAGGGAAAGGATATAGCCAATGAGTCTGGCTGGCTGATTCATGGTTGCGAATGTGGTCTTAAATTATGCAGAGTTCGATGCAGTGTTTCTACTTCTCTGGTTTTAAGTTAAATGAAGAAGTATTTGCTTCAATAATTCAAGGCTGCCGACATAAAGGGATTTAACTTAAAATGGCAAGGATATACATATTAGTGTTTAATTTACATTTGCTTAAGCAGAAACGGAAGTCGTTTTACTGAATCTTAAAATATTTTAATTGAGCTTCATAATTACAAGAAAAAATAACTTATTTTTTTCATTGGTCATCCTTTAATACCCTTTTTCACATTTTAATTAAGTTTAATTTCGTTAGAATTTTCCTTTTAATGTAGTACAAAAATAATTGCAGTACCATTAAAAAGGGTTTACATATTTTAATGTAACAAATGGATTCCTGACCATCTGTTTGCTTGTAATTCATGAATAATATATACGAGATTAGCTGGAACTGGTTAAAACCAATAACTAAAGTTTAATGTTTAAATGAACAGAATGAACAGTATAAAGTATAATTGTTTGGGAAGTGAAAAAAGAACAATCAGTTTTATTTTTGCGCACCTCTGAAAGTTGATTAATTAAGCAAGCTACTCAACGGTGGCAGTCATTTAAAAGTCAAAAATTGTGAAAATATATTCTTCACCCCACTCATTTGCGATTTCGTAATTCCCTGAGTGCTGCATTTTTTTTATGTTTGTTTTTTATCGCACTATGCACTTCAGGGGTTTTAAAGTCCCTTCAATTTGATTAATGATTCGTTTCTTTTTCGGTTTTTTTTTTGTTTGGTGAGCTCCCCATTTTAGTTGTCTCGCATCCATTTCAAGCTTTTTCCATCCCGATGTGTCCCTCGCCAGAACGTCGCCATCTCTATAGCCACTTTGTCCGTCAATAAATTGAATGTCGTCTGGTCGGATGTGCTCTGCTCCGAGTTCTCTATTCCGCTGATGATGATGGCTTATTAGCCGAATTCGCTGGCCCATGTAAATTTTCGGCTGCCTCGTACAAGTTGTTTTGCCTTGATGCGTCAACATTTAATTGTATTCTTTCCTGTTTACAAATTCGGTATTTTTTTTTTTCTTTTTTGTATCGCCTGGGTGCGAACTTCTTAACCCAGTTAGGGCTTTGCATATCGGTTCTGTTAACTTTTTGGCCTACTTGGCATTCGGGTCTTGGCCGTATTCCTGTGCCACCTTTGTTTAGTTCGCCTATTTGCATTGTCATTAATTTTTAATAGTTCTCCTTGTAGAACTTCGCGCCCTGTACATATACTATATGTGTATGTATATTTGTGGGGATATATGTGACATCAGCCGTTGCAAGTCGGCTCCCTTTCCATATTTTTCGAACAGGCTAATTAAATGTCACACCACTTAAATGTGGGTACGTCATTGCGTGGGTACGTGGCCGAGTTGTTGTTCCTCTGGTTTTAGCTTTTATTGTTTTCCTTTTAGTTGTTGCTTCTGCTGTTTTCCTGTCCCGCTGATGAAATTCTAATGAAAACTCAATGCCAGCTGATATCAGACTTCCTTTGCAAAAAAGCAAAGCCTGAAAAAGAAATTGTGCTAAAAAAAAATGCGAATTGTACAGAAATCATGAAAATTAGTTCTACGAAAGCTATCCGGATCTGATCTAAAATAATGTATTTGTTTTAATTGAAAATTTATCCCCACCCAAAGATAATTTGAATTTCTTAGTATAAAGACGTTAAAACAAAGTCATTACTTTCCATTTTCCAACCACAACAAATTATAATTTCATTATAATTATTAGTCCGTAAAATCTCGTAAATTTACAACAGAATTATTTTCCAGACTTTATGACCGGAGGTATTTCCTTGTCGATCAGTGAGCAGCGTCTAGAAATGTTCGCCGCAAAATGCGAATTAATTTATGTATTTAAGAATTCATAACAACAACAGTGCGAAGCGAAGCTACACACAAAAACACACACATTGCCGCGAACACGGGGAATACAAAGAGAGCTCCCTCGCTTCCCCGATTTTCCTATCTATATCTCTATATCTCTCTGTTTAGCTTTCGCTCATTCGATACTATATGTGCCATACAATTATTTCAGCGCTTTCCTCAAGTGACTGCGACGAAATTGTTGGCGGCGGAGCGTTGATTGAGAGTTTCTTTTTAATGTCGCAAGGAGAAGCACTCTGTGTGTGTGTGTGTGTGTGTGTGTGTGTGTGTGTGTGTGTGTGCGTGAGTGGGTGGATGGGCTGAGTGCTGCTTGGGTGGTGCTTGGGGGAGCGGGAGCTATGCCTACATATGTAAAACATGCTGGGCAACAGGCAAAACTATTAGGCCAGTCCGTCAGTCGCTCCGTTCACCGCTCGGCGTTCAGACGCTTTTCGAGATTCTCGGGCATTCGCATTGCCAAAATGCGTCGCCGTCGCAAAGTCCTTATAAAGGCCACATTTTCGAAAGACAGTTCTCCATAAGCGGTTGTCGGAAAACGAATATAAAAAGATTCCACTGTGCGGCGGGAATTTTAAGCAACACGTGCCATGAGCTGTTTCTTCCGTTTATTTGTAAGCTGCACTCGCATTCGCTGTTGTAATTCGTTTTCGATGACAAATTCCGCTTTTCGCCAAGCCCAAACAGCTGACCGATCCTAATCTTATCGCAAAGAGAAATAAAGTACCAACGGGGAATGAAAAGTTGAGCACAAAAGAAGCCAATAGTTAAACAATGCTATCTCATGACTGGGCAAACTTTTCAACATTATACCCCAGAGCAAATTTCAGTTATAAATTTAGTAAAACTAACAGTTGGCGAGAGTGGTGTTTGTGTTCGGTTAAGTTTGTTGTTTATGCAACTGAAATTAATTTGGGCCCTGTGCGCGATTGCGCGTGTGGGAAAACAAAAATAAGCGAGTGATTCAATTTGAGCTGAACATGCAACCGTCTAGAATATGTTTATTTTGAAAATGGCCGCAAAATGATAGAGGTTTTTGCCTCAACTCTATTTGCGGCCACCGGGGCGTATGAGAGATGGGCGTCTGAATAATTAAATACCATATATGCACAGGTTATTCATAGTTTACTCAATTTCAATGGAGGGTGTTTGCTTTAAAACGTTATTGAATCAAGCGCACGGATGGCAAAAAACTTTTCCAATTAGCCAGCAGCCGCCCAAGGGGATAATGCAATAATCGTTGCTAAAACTTTTTCATTATGTACTTGACCCCTTTTTCCCCTGTTGCAGGCCAGCACCGGCAAAATGGACGGCAATCCACTATCGGAAATAGAAGAAATTGTCAAGACGACAACGGTAAGTGCTGCAGTCGACGAGCGGTGTTGAGAGCGGGATTAACCCCATTTCCCTGAATTTTCAATCTGCAGGAACAGCACGAGTCCAACTGTCGCGGCGACGGAAGCGGAGGAGCGGAGAATGCCAGCACCAATGGCCACGGACGCTCCCACGACAACGACGAGGAGGTGAGTGATGATTAGAGATTTATCCCCATTGTTTGGCTTTAAATCCTTTGTTTGATATCTCTTACAGAGCCACTCTGCTCTCTCAGACAAAGCGGAAGCTCTCAGGAAGCGGCAGTGCGTTTTAGCGGAGCTGGTTTCCACGGAGGAATCGTATGTGCAGGATCTCCACATGATTGTCAATGGGTATGTGAAGCGAATAAGTTAATTAAAGGAAAAAACGGATTAGCTTTGGTACTTCCTTTTCAGATATATGACAGAGATCAACAATGCGAACAGTGATATACCAATGCCGGAGGATTTGAAGGGTGGCAAAATGAGGTTGATCTTCAACAACATCAAGGACATCTACGAGTGGCACAGGGAGTGAGTATACAAAACGGATACGATTGAAATGGCAGGCTTACTCCGTGTATTTTTCCCATATTTAGCTACTTTTTGAGGGCCCTGCGCAACTGCCAAAAGTCCCCAGCGGATCTAGGTCCACTCATCAAGCGCTCAGCCACCAAGTTTGCTCTGTACTACACCTATTGCAGCAACAAACCGCTGTCCGAATATATTGTCGGCGTCCACTGTCAGTACTTCGATTGCATTCGCCAGAAGCTGGGACATCGCCTGGATGTAAGTTAAATTTTCTAATCAGTTTAGTTATTTTGATAAAATAACTTTATAACTTTCTTTCCATCAGCTGAGCAATTTGATCATCAAGCCTGTGCAGAGAATCACCAAATACGAGCTGCTGATCAAGGAGATCATCAAGTACACCGAGGGAGCCGGGCTCTACAAGGAGGTGCCCATGCTGCAGGAGGCCTACCAGCAGATGAAGGTGGTAGTCAACGCGGTCAACGAAATGATGGTGGTGCTGCGCAGCCTGAAAGACTTCGATGGGGAGCTCAGCGCCCAAGGCAGCCTGCTGATGCAGGGCCCCATGAGCTGCCTAGTGGATGCGGCACAGAAGCAGCGAGAGCTGCAAGTGTTCCTCTTCCAGCAGATCATCATCTTCGCTGATGTGGAGAAGGCGAAGGGTCAGTATACCGACCCGGTATTCAAGTACCGATCGCACATTCAGGTGAGGAAATAAACCTCTCTATTTATATTTTCAAATGTTATAATGTTTTATGCCTTCTCCTCGACAGCTCAATCACATGCAACTGAAGGAACTGGGCGACTATCGCTTTCAAATCAGGTCGACGGACCCCAAGATTCCGGAAATGACGATTGTCTGCCAGGCGACGTCGCAGGAGAACTATTCGGGATGGATCGATATGCTGAACAAGATCCTGCAGCAGCAGAACGACCTGATCTGGATGCTCTCCAATCCCCTGCAAACCAAAAACAAGTGAACGCCTTTCGGGGAAGAATTCCAAATGAATTAGCAACAAAGCTTGACAGCAAGCGAGAACAACAAACAAACGAAAGTATGAGAAAATGATATTGTAATGTGTTTTGGGCAAAGGGTTTTCCGCCACCCAAGTGAGCATTCGCCTCGCACTTCTTTTCCCGTCTGTGCGTCTGTTTACTGATCGTTCTGCTCACACCCAGACACACACGCATACTCACTCCTAATTTGTATGGAACATGTAAATGTAATTTATTTATTCGTTATCATCTGAGTTTCCGTTCAGGCTACCTTTAGTTTCTAGTTTGAGCCGCCTTTCTGTTCTGTATACTGTATTATTCTGTTTCGTTTCCGGATTTGTGTATATGAAACGCAAAGTATTATATGCTCAAGATTACCTTTGACAATGTGTGCATTTTTAACTTAATTAGACAGTTTTCTCTTAGTTTTACTTTTCCACATCTGATTTCTTAGCGAACGGCAGCCGAAAACTACTCAGAATCAAAAGCAATTTACATTTTCGTTTCGTATTTGTATTCGCATTAAACAAAGTAAGAGTATAACTATTCTAGCCTTAGTTCGGTACCTAGTTTTAGTTTAACCTTAAAGTGTTAATCATAGTTTAAACTTATAGTACTTGATTTGCTTTGGATAACGAAAGCAGAGATTCGTTTTACGGCACTAATTCGAGTGCGACAACTTCGTGAAATAATTTAAGCCTAATTTAGTTTACGAATGCAATGCAAAGCGTATTTGTACTTTATGTTTTACAAATAAAATATGTAAGCTTTAAACGTAATCAAAAACAGAACCGATAAGTTTTTAATTATTATAATTTTAAATTATGCCCAAAATAAAACAAAAGCCTGCTCAGTTGTAATTCTATTATGGTTTCACGCATCCTTTGCCCATTTTTCAGTTTTTCGTTTTATATTAAAAGGACACAACACATATAGACTAAGCAGTTATCAAAATGGAACCCCATTACCTTCAAGATACCACTTAAGCGAAGCCCAACTGTATACCCAAGCCAATTTTTCGATGCATATTTCTATTTGGTGTCTGTGCGTTTATGTTAGTTGGTAAGCAGGAAGCAGGAGGCAGTAAGGATAATGTACAGTGTAGCATACGAGGATAAGTCAGAGTCAGTCAGGATAAATGAGCAGTCGTGTCTCTCGCAGCAAGTACTCAACCAGGACCAGGATTTGATTAAACGATAAAATGTAAAAAACAGGAGACAAAGTTACTAAGCGGTTGTTCACACGATACTTTCGAATCGATTTTGTCTCTTAAAGCACCCACACACACACACACGGATACAGTCTGGAACATGAATATGATTGCAATTTGAATATATCAATGCGAAGAGTAACAATAATGATTTAGCATAGCTAAATGTAGGATGCGAGCATGAAATGTATTTTTTTACAAAAATTGTGAAACGAACCTCCGGCATAACTCGTAATTAAATGTTAAAGTCGCGACGACGGATCAGATCGGTTTGGATCGGATCATTGGATCGTTGGATCGATGGATCAGATGAAAAGCAAACGCACAGTGAGAGGAACTCAAATGGCCACAACATTTTCTACATTTTTGCACTTTACTCGTAGAGCTACTCAACTCACAACCGATCGATCTTAACATGTAACATACTGAATTCTTTTCGATTATATTAATGGCACCTATTGATTAACTAATTGTTGTACTTAAATCCCAGTCGAAAACCTAGATAATTGTGGTAATTGAAGTGTGTGTTTTAGTTTATCTAATTACTCTAACTAAATATAAATATTACCTACATATACGACATCATGTACGCCAGTGCAATGCGAACAGCATGAAGTAAACGTGTTAATCTGTGTTTTAGCCAAGTAAGCACCAGCTAGCCGGGGCCCAGTGGCTTTTCCCTCGGAAAACGCTCGGAAAATGCCAGTCGAGATCAACAGTTGGCCCGGCCAAAGGCTGCAAATATAAATATATCCAGAAACCAATATGCAAATTGTATGTAACCAACAAAGCATGTAATCTGAATTTAACAATTTTCAAAGTGAATAATAATAAAGCAAAAGTAGCTGAATAAACTTAACATACTCAACAGAAAGGTTTTTAAAATTTGAGGAACGGTGCTGTGGCAGCGAGCTTTTTGTCGTGGTCCTACGCTAAAACTGCAGCCCTGTAAATTACATTTCATGTAGAAATTGCTTTCTCATGTAAAAACTAGTTTTCTTTTCGTTTCACTAAAATAGTAAGCTATTTTAACTTCGCTTAATTTAATGAACCATTTTCCCAATATTCCATGAGTAATCTATTATTCTAACCAAAGAATAAAACACTTTTATTTTAAATAGGATGTAGTCAATAAAAAGCATTTTCGGTTTTACTTGGGTTTAATTAAGACTAATGTAAAAATGCTATCAGTTTTGAGCCAGCTGTGCGCTAATTGAACTACTTTCTGCCGATTGCCGGTCATCATAAATTCCTCAGACTCCCCGACGTGCCTGTCCGTCGTCTGCAATCTCTGTTCCTGCGGATCCAGCGGCTGCAGCCTGGTGAAGTTGCTTCAGCTCGTTGTAGAGCCTCAAAGCGAGCTGCATGTTGGGCGCCCATTGGCGTCCTGGCACCTGGTGCTCCTTGGGCGGCTGGACGCACATCTTCACCAGCTTTTGGAGCGCCTTCGAGAGGCGCACGCCGCTGAGTAGACCGGGCTGGAAGGTCCCTCCGCCGAGGAGGATGTGCTCGCAGAATATCTGGAAGTTGTTGTTCTGCTGGATGTGCGTGCAGGATTGCTTCTCCTCGTCGCACATTCCCCTGCAGGAGTGGAAGTGACAGTCCTGGTGGGTGTGGCACTTGACGCCCCTCGACAATTTCTTGTCCAGTTGGCTCTCCACGTAAACATGCTCGGCACTCTGGTACTTCAGCCTTCGCTCAGAGGCGGTTCCGAAGCGATTCACCTGCATCTTGCACATTTTCAATGGTTCCGGCTTCATTTCGTCCAGCCGGAAGATATACTCCATAATATTCAGAGCGTGCTTTAGCCGCTGCAAGCGATTGGAGGCCCTAAAAAGATTGATGGAGATTGGTAATCAAAAATTAAACTTAGTTGAAGCTTATCACCCACAGATACTGCATAATGCTTGGGTTGGACTGAACGATCTGCAATCCCTCGGTGGCATAATAGGGCCCACATGAACCCAGAACTGCTGGAAATATGGACTCCTCATCGAATAGCTTGCCCATCATGTAGTTGTTGTCTTTGAAGAGTCTCCAAAAACTAACCATTTGCTGAGAATTATCATCTGCTATTTCCTGGTTAACAAGAGCGCGGATCTAAAGAGTAGTTATACAAAATTTATTAAAAGAAAATATATACACGTTAAAGATATTGATGGGATTAAAATAAAAATCAAAGTATCCAATAAAGTAATAAAAAAAGGTAACCAGGTATTTTTCGAGATGCCTACCATATTATCATCCAGCGTGACATTATAGGCCAGTATGATATGCAGCTTTACGATCTCATGGAACTCCTCGATCTTGGGATATATGGACTCCCCCTTACTATTTGTCCAGCTCAATTCGTCTTCATTGTGCCGGGCCAACTAAAACCAGAAAAAGTTGAATGGTAACCATGACAACCAAAGCCAAAAAACCCGACCTACCTTCACCGCATAAGTATCTCCGTTCTTTTCAGCAGTAAAAAGGATAGTTTTCATGTCATTAAGTGGACATTGGAAGTTGTCGAAGGAAGATTGTGAACCACAAAGTTCTTCACACAGAGAGCCGCTGTACTCATGCTTTTCAAATTTTTGGCACTGTTTATTATAGATTTAAATATCAATATTGGTTAACAAGTTAGGAAAACAGTTTTTATACTTTACCATCAAGTTGAGGCTCCGATGGGACATCAATTTGAAGCAGAACTTGAGGTTGAGAAAGGCGTAGCTGAAAATGCCCACCGCCAGCAGGACCGCAATTAGAACCGTGCGCTGCATTCCAAACCGAATTTTACGACGCAGGGCGGTCAGCATTTTAAACGATTGAAATTTCCATTTTGTTCGATTCGTTTACACACCCCATCGAAGGTACGGGTATATATACTTGAAGACCGGAGGACTGTCATTTAAATCTGACACATCCACGACATGCGCACTGCACTGCTGACTATCGATGAGTATCGAAAAAAATATGGGTTATCCTTTGTACATTCAAGCCTTCCCCCATAAAATTTAAAAGCATTCCTTACGTTTTCCCCTAAATGATATTCTCAAATAAACCTTTCCATTCCCTCCCAAAAATAAGACGATTTTATATTTTGAAATTATTACTTAACGTATAATTCTTTATTTATACTCTCTGCTAAATTGAGCAATTTACTTTACTTAATTCATCAATTTTTATTTGTATTTTTAATAAGTTGTCTTTTAATTTCATTCAAGTGTTTAGAGTTTCCGTTTTTGCTTTCGGTTTGGGTTTCTTTGTTCTGCTTTACTAAAAATTATTTAAATTCAGAATCATATACCTAGGTTCAAGTTTATTGTTGTATATTAATAATATAATTATTAATTCGCATTACTTTCCGCGCATTGTCCTCTCCAGCCCCTCAATCGCATTGGGGCCGCGTCAGTGTTCCGTGTCTCTGGATTCGAATATGTGTCAAGTCTGTAGGGGGTTTTGAGTGTTTCTGGGGTCTCTCTCTAATATTCACCTTTGCGTGTATTTATATACTTAAGATAACCGTTCTGTATGCACAATTTTAACTAGTTATGTACACAACTATATGTGGCTATGCAAATGCTATAACATATCCGAACCACCAACTAAAGTACAAACAGGTAAAAAAAAGTCGCTAGGGTATAATGTCATTGTTAATTGTGTTAATTCAGCTATATATTTCAAACGGCATCTCACTAATTCTTGCAGCTGCTGGCTTTGGTTTTTGGTGTGTGATTATCGTGGCCCGAAATCTCGAAATCTCGAAATCATCGATTCCAAGGGATTTTCTGGGTAACTGGTAAGTTTGTATCTTCGCTACGTGAACTTTAAAAGGGCTTGCCTCGGATTTAGTTACTTCCATAGTCGATTTCCTATTACTGGATAATGTCTATAACTCGGTCCGTGTTCGGGGGTGTCATTACGGCTAATTGTTACGGCTTCAGATCTGTTACTGTTATTTACAGTTCGAATAGTGCACACAACTTAAGACCAGTCCGGCCATCGGATCGAACTCACAACCAAGTAGTCGTTTCCGTTTCCGTTTCTATTTCCGTTTCCGGTGCCGTTTTCCAGTTTTTTGTTTTGTTTTTTATTTTGTTTTTTGTTTTTTTTTTTGGTTGACATTTCGTGTTGTCTGTTTGTATGTCTATACGATTTGCTTGATTTAACTTTACGCAATGTTAACATTCTTTCTTTTGATTTTGTTACAAAATCGCGCGGCCGCTTGGCATTTTCAATTTTGTTTGCTTCGGTTTCGTAATTCCGTTGAACTCATTATTGTTTTGCTTAGTTCATTAAAATAATGTAAAAAATCTGCAAATTGCATGCTCCTCGTTAATTAATGTGCCTTTAAAAAATGTCTATGATTTCTCTATATGTATTCATTCTTATATTTACAGCAGTTTTCATTTTCGATTTGGTTTTGCGAACTTTGTCTTTTGTCTTTTGTTTTGGAGTCTCCACTTCGATTTTGTTCTTGTTTGTTTGTAGTTCATTTGTTTAAAACCTTTGTTTTTGGCAGTGCATTTATATTTATTATTTTCGGTTCACTAATTCATAATGATTCGCCTCGGCTAACGACTACGAAATGAAGTTCATTCAGTTAGTTACTCGTAAATTAGGTTATTAATTAATCAACAGCAGTTATTTACAATTTTCTCGTTTTGTTCTCACGCAAGGTACGTCTGATTCAACGGCTACTAAATTAAGTTCGAGTGCTTAGTTTACATTTAGTTATTCAAGTTATCGAAAGCAACTGAGGCTACAGAGAGATACGACTACAAAAAGTATAATTGGAAGACAGTTGTTGGGGATAATACGAGTACATTGGGAACGAATCTGGAATCTGGGATAATCGAAAGGATTTTTGGGGGTCGTGAGAAACGGAAACGTATTTATTCCTTGAGCAAAACGGCTTATTGCTTTAATACAAAAATCGCAAGCAGTCCCTGAAAAACGCGCATATCAAATAAATGCTAACAAAACTCTCACTTTTCTGTGTAATCTTAACTCTTTTTCGTTTTTCGTTATTTGTTTTCCGTTTAACATTAAACTTGTTGCCTTTAGGTGCCAAACTACAGTTGCTCTTCTTGTCGTCTTGTCTTGCTGTCTTGTCTTGTTCTTGTTAATTAATGGTTAATATTATTACTTAGTTGCAGTTGCGTTTGCAGTTGCGTTGCTGAAACTCTAAATCTTGTGGCTCTGCTCCGATCCTATCCGTCGCATCCTTATAGCTAGCTTTAACTGGTATGTTAGATTGGTTGTCTATCGTCTAGGCTTGAGTAGGTGTGCATTATTATTTCCATTTGCCTTGGCTCTTAACTATGTATATGGGTTTAGTCAATTTAAATATGCAAATTCAAAACCTTCGCTTAATGTTTAAGTTGAATATACAAATGTTCTCCGCTCCTAACCTCCTATCCTCCTTCTCTCCTATCGCTTGTATTTATTATGTATACGCACTGTTAGCTTAAGTATTCTTTTCATTATTTAAAATAGTCGTTGTTCGTCTTCCTCTTGTGTTTGCAGCTGGTGTGATTCGTATGTGTGATTTGTGCATTAGGGGGTTAAGTTTCTTCAGGGTTAACTTAATTACAGATGCTAAAAGATGGCTATAAAGGAATCCTAAAAAAATGTTCTTTAAATATCTGAGGATCATTTCAAATAAATACCCTCTAAATCTTGAAGGAAGTATTTTTCAGAACTACTTATAACCTTGCTTTAACATCTCTAATTGGTTACCCCTTTGAAATCTGTATTCCCCATGGTGCATTTTGTGTTTTCATCGTGTTCTTGTGTGATCCTCGCTTTAAACAGAGTTTTGGCTTAGCACAAAATTAACTTTAATCCTCTTAATTTGTTTGGCAGTGTAAAAATTGTAAGTAAATGTAAACATGGTTCCCGTTCGGCTGTCCATCGCCGCTGCTCCGGATATTCGGACTTCGGATATTGCTCGTCCAGTCGCCACTAGCCACTTGGTTAATCCTCGTCCAGGCTCTGCGATCGGCGCTTCGAGACCACCAGATACTTGCGGCCGAAATAGGGCGAATCTATAAGGGGGATGCAGGAGGCGGATGAGGAGGCAGTGAATCTCTGTCCGCTCTGGCCGCTCACTTCTTGCGCAGGAAGTCGGTGTACTTGCGTGCCCGCTTGCGCACTCGCTTGAGGGCCGATCCCAACCGGAATTGCTCCTCGTTGAGATCGTAGGCGTGGTGCGACGCGGCGGCATTCGGGTGGCTCAGCATGTGGTGCACGTGGCCGTGCGGCGTGTGCGTGTGCGCGTGGCTGTGGTGCGGGTGCGTTTGCGATTGCGAGTGCGGTGCATTGGTGGTTGCGTGATGGTAGTGGTGCATCTGCACGAAATCATCCCCGGCGGGATTCACCGAACCCGAGAGCGGCGATCCCGGCGACATGTTCGCGTGGGTGAGCAAGTTGTGCTCGGAGGCGGCGTCGAAGGACTCGAAGTGGTGCAGCTGCTGGTGGTGCGTCAGCGGTTGCGGCGACGGCAGCGACGACGAGTGCTCGCTGGTGGTGGAGGCACCTCCACCTCCCACCTCCAATCCTCCCATGCCGGCGAACTCCTTGGGCAGCTCGTCTATGCCGAGTGGCTTGTCGAAGTGCGAGTTGCCCGACATGTTGGTGTAATCGTAGCTGGGGTAGGTGTACGGCAAGTAGCCGGTGTGGTGGCCCTCGCAACCCACCTCAGAGCCTCCGGTGGCACCACCACCACTCCTGTTGTTGATGAACTTCACCTCGTTGGCATTCCTCTCCAGACTGCTGCTGAACACAATGTTTATGTTGTTCGAACTGGTCGACAGGTTGATGTTCGTGGGCGAGAGCTGCTCCGTGGAGCTCTGGTTGAGGTTCGTCTCCTTCGAGTTGGCCCTGTAGCTCTGGAAACACTCGGCGGCATCGCTGGAAGCGGTGTTCGTGGTGTTCGTGTTGTTGTTGTTGCTCGCATTCTGGCCCTGCTGGAAGTTGTTCTTGTACTGGAACTCTAGGGCGTTGCTCGGCTGGAAGGGATAGTTCTTGGAGTTGTTCAGGATGTCGCTGGCCGTGGCATCGCCCTTCGACAGATACTGATGGATGTCCTCGCTGGTGATCTGCAGGTCCTGGTCCAGATAGCTGTTGCACTGTATGTAGTTGTAGTTGTTGCTGCAGCAGTTGTTGTACGCCTCGCCGGCGTCCTGGTGGAACATCACCGTGGTGGTGGCCTCGTCCTCGAACTCGCAGTGGTAGCTCCCGCTGCCCTTGCTCCCCCGACTCCCCCTGCTGCCACGCCTCTTCCTGGCCGCCGCCGCCGAGGTGCTGGGTCCCTCGTCGTAGACGGAGGCGCTGCTGCTGGTGATCTTCCTGCAGGGCTTCTTCTCCGGCTCCGGCTCGCTCACCTGCCAGGCATCCAGCTTCTCCTCCTCCCGCTCGTCATCCCGATTTCCCCCGCCCACGGCTCCCTCCATTTCCGAGGGCGACCGACCGTCGGCCAGGAAGCTCCAGCGAATGGGAGACGGGGAGCAGGCGTACTCCGGCAGCTCGGTGCTGCTCATCGCTCCCTTGGAGCTCTGCCGCTCCAGAGTGGATCCCTGCTCCGGATTCATGCTCTTGGCCCTATCGAAAATGGATGTGAGGGAACCCAACTGGCTGTTGGGGCGACTGGCGTTGAGACCCCTCAGCGAAATGGATGTGTAGCTGGGCTGGCGGTGCTCGGGCAGCAGGCTCCTCTGGCTTCGATGGTGCTTCCTCACCAGCGCGGAGGCGGACTTGATCGAGTTGTTGCGGCTCAGCGAGGAGCGGGAGCCGTACAAGCTGGTGGAGTCCGTCTGGTAGCAGTAGTCGGAGCTGGTGCAGCAGCTGCTCGGCCGGCGGGAGGAGCCGTACAGCTCCTCGGCGAAGCACTGGGCCAGTTCGGTGCGCGAGGAGCTGTTGGTGGCCGTGTTGTTGCAGCAGGTGCGCCGCACCAGGATCTCCTGCACCTCCCTATCGGTGCAGCTGGGATCGTGGCAGATATTCGTGGAGGATATATCCGTGACGGAGCGGTGGCGACGACTGGTGCAGATGGAGGAGCGCACCACCGAGTGGTTGGCCGAGTGCAAGGAGGCGGCCTGGTTGGCCCCCGGCAGACTCCCGCTGCCCTGCCGCCTCCTCCTACTGTGGTGGCGACTGTGGTGCGAGTGATGGTGGTGCTGCGGTTGCTGCTGCTGATGCGGCGATGTGTGGCGACTGTGGTGCGGACTGTGGCTGTGCTTGCGCTGCTGGCAGTGGTGCGAAGTGGACTGCTGCTGAACGGCCGCTGGCTGCGATGATGGTGGTGCAACTGGTGGTTCAGCGAGCGAGGGATTGGCCTGATCACAAACGACTTCCTTCTCATAGCTACAGTGTACGTATTCGTGTGTGGGATAGCGGTTCTGGTGGTGCACCTGCTGCTGCTGCTGCTGCTGCGGATGCTGCTGCTGATGGTGGTGCGGCTCCTCAGCGCGACTCGTGGAACGAACACTGGCAGAGTCAGGAGGCGAGGCGCTCCTCAGTCAAGGCCCGCTGCTCGGGCAGACAGGTGGAGGCTGACGAGGGTGATGGGGCGCAGAGGCAGCGCTCCGGCCCTGGTGTGTACTTCGGCCGCCTTCTAAAAATCGCTCGGATGCAGCTGCCCACGCAATCAAATAAATACAATAACAAAACAAAAATTGGGAACGAAGAAAACCAAACGAGAAAAACCAAAGTCGGAATACGAGAGAAAAAAGCAATTAATATGGCGGGCCAAATTGTGGGTTTCTCTGGATCGTTAGTATTTAATTTATTGTCGAGGGGGGTTCGTTTTTTGTTTTGGGCGTTTTTAGCTGCGATTCATTCACTACTGCTGCTAATTAAAACAGTGCATGCAAAAAGTCCATGCCAATAATACGCATGCAATCGAGGGGGGCGATAAAAACGCTTGCAATCATTTGCAAACAGTCATGCAGAGTTTATAAAACCAACAAAACACACAACTTTCACATGGCGTCGATGATGCCGAAAAGGGCGCTTGATTGATGGCCAGATTGATGGATTAATTAATTTACTAAAATGATTTTCACTTGCAATTTTTTGTCCACAGCTGCGGTAAAAATGATAGCGAAATACCTTTATTTGATCTTATTTTTCAAATTTAATTTTCACTGCAGCTGTGTTTAATTGAATCAAAGCCAATTAATGTTTTTTCAGCTAATTTGTGTTTAGAAAAAAATGTGTATACCTAGTGGTCTTGTTATTAAACATGAAAATGACTGATTGCGGTCTAATAGGCTGACTTTTGAAATGAAAAAACTATTCACAATGATTTAAGGTGAGAAAGTCATGATGGGAGTTTAATTTGTGTTTGAACTGTTTGTATAACTTATTTCCCTTCGCATTATTGGCACTTTTCTTTCTGATCCTTGAGCGAGTGTGTGAAGTGGGTGTGTTTTTTGGGTGTTCTTTTTGGTTTTTGCACTCAGAGAGTGGTGGTGCGAGTTTTGTTTACTTAGCCAATCGGTTCGCTTGATTCTTTTTGATAGTTGGTCCCAAGTTCAGTAGTTGCCCCTTCACTTGCGTACTATAAAGGAACGAAAGGAAAACAGGATAAGCTACGATTCATCAGATCCGAACGGTCGGTGGTTCGTTTAGCGCCAGCTTGAGCCTTAGCCTAAGATACAACTATATACGAATATATTATATATTTTATTTGGGTGCACTTTGGTTCGGGCATTTTCATGTAAATGCTTTCGTGATTCAGTGGTTCAGTGGCTGCGCTGTGGCTCAGTGGCTGACTAGCTTGGTTGTGGTGGCTTATTATTAGTTAGCGGTGCGGGGTCAACCTACATGACATCCTTCCGTGCGCCGAGTGCCGGCGGAAGTTGTAGTCGTCGGCCTCGTCGTAGTGGCACTTTCTAGCCGCCTGCGGCGTTTGCAGATTGGTGCCGTAGTTCGTGTAGCACCGACCCGCAGCCGATCCGGACCCGGATCCGGCCAGCCCGAGCACTCCGCCCGGACCGTAGCTGCTCGATCCGGGGCCCAGGAGATTGGTGCTATCGCTCAGCGGATAGGGACCCATGCCTTCAACCGTCAGGGAAAACGAGGTCGTACCAAACACTTGATTATTATTTCAGAGTACGGTAAGGGATTTCTCGGTATTTCATTTGTTTTTTAATCGTTTTTTGTTTTTGTTTTTCGTTTCATGCAAGATCAGATTCAGATAGTCGCCAATATTGGTTGTTGTTGTTGTTGTTGTCGATTTGGTTACATACAATAGTTGAGAGTGTTGGTTGTGTATTGGGCCCAGTTGATGGTTGATTTTGATCGATTGATTGATAGTTTCCAATGTTCAAAATTGTTTGATTCAAAACACAATTCATAAATCCGAATGGAAATAAACAATGCAAGATAGTTAATTTATTCAGAGAGACGCGGGCATCGCATCAGATTTTCTTTTACAATAGAATTAGAATAGAATAAGTACAGATCGAATTTCTACGATAACAAGCAACTATATAGTAAGGACGAGAGTTACAAAATCATTGCACAACTTAACTCGGAAGTTCTAGGCAAACAATAAAAGTCGGAAATTTACAGATATACACACATTTATATTAATGAGTGGAGATGACTGAGGTTAGTAGGAGAGTTGAATGGTTCGGGATAATGCATAATTCATTTTGTAATGCAAAACGAAAATAAAGTGTGACTAATTGCTCGTTAATGTGTACAGTTTGCTGTTGCCAAAATTATTGTTTGCAGATTACGCCATAAATTATAACTGAAATCCAATTATTCACCCTAAACAGCTTTTCGAAAGATTTAAAAATATTTATATTGTTTTGTAATGAAAGAATTACAGTTTCTAATTTCATTTTTCACTGCCCACATTTGCACCCAAAAAAGTGTTTTAAAATCCCCACAGATTTAAATTAGGTTGGTTCTGTCAAACAAAGAATTAATTATGCAACACGTCGAACAAGCGTTGTTCATAAGGCAATTTACATAGATACATTTTGTTTGATTGTGTGGCTTTGCGGAGTTGAAACAGTTAACAAGTGGACTCGGAATTAGGGTTCTTTCATGTTCACCGAAAGGACATTTGCTGTCTTGTGGTCGTCACACCACCTGTGTTTATGGATATGCAAATATTGAAAGTGTGGCTCGAGCAATTTGCACAACAAATAACGAGGAAATTAAAAACTCAAACGGATACCGAAAGTGAACCTGAAACGCAATCGAGGTGTGGTTTCTGTTTCAGGACTCAAGGACATCTGACGGATGAGAGGATTAGGGATTGGGGATTGTGGGGGTTTCTAGGTTTCGGTGGGTGTTCTAGGTGGGCGAAAGTTTGCGTGTTTTGGATTCTTACGTGAGTCATGTTGGGTCTTCTCCTCAGATACCATCAAGGCGGCATGCTCGATGCCAGAATTCATACTTTGTGGCTCCAAGCTATTTGTGCAGTTTAGCATACTCCTGAAATTCGCACACTCTACGATTATGTTTTAAGTGTAAACGTATTTAATTTAATTTCTTTGCAACTAATGAGAGCAATTTCGAGAGTTTTGTCTGGGTTCTGGTTACTTAGTTTTTTTTTTTTTTTGTTTGTTGGAGTTTAAGGATATACCGCGGCTGGCTTTGACATTTGGAATGGAGTTCTCTGTAGTTAGTTAGTGTATGGGTTTGAGGCTGCTTGGAAGTTATTAGGCGCGGCTCAAAAATCAAAATCATAAGTCAAACGAAACGAAATAGAAATGATAATAAAGTAACATTTATTGGTAATCAAACATATAACGTGAAATTAAATTGGTTTAAACTAGCACTAGTCTAAATTGGAATATGGCTCCCACGTCCTTCGTCCCGGAATCTTCCAGGAATTGCTATGAGTGAAGGTGGTTTCTGGTGTGTATAAATTATTTGGAAGGGTCGGACGCGTGGGTGTCACTGGTTCTGGGATGATGGAGCTGTCTTAGCGAGGCTTCACTGCGCCTTCGGGTGCGCGGAGCTCTTCTCAGTGCCACCGATCTCGCCCTGCGACAACTCCATGTCCGCGGTGGCGACACTGTTGTCGTTGGCATTATCCTCGCTATATGGTCGAAAATCGGGCAAATAAATCAGTGTGCGTGTGGTGTGGCTGTGGCTGTTTGGTTGTCAAATGAACTTATGGGCTATGGATGGACTGGACCACTTTAAACTAACAAATTTACTTCGGAGATGATCGGATGATCAATGAGGGGAGAGCGATTCGGATTTATCAGATGACGTGATATGGGGCAGAAAAACATGAGATGCGACTCTTAATTAAGTATAGGTAAGTAAGTATAGGTAACGGTATAGCTATGCATAGAGAGAGAGTTGGAGAGTAGAGTATTAAAATTGATATTAAATAGTTGGGTATTTATATAGTTGGCTAAAATGAGTCTTATTTAGTTCGCTTTTACGGCAGCCAGTTGTTTATGGATTGCAGTTTGTAGTTTTTAGTTTGTAGATTGTAGTAACAAAGTAACGAGTTGTAACAAAGTACAGGCAAAGTTAAGCAAACATGCCGAAAAATTCATAGAAACTTTGAGCGCAGGAATTCACAAATTCACAAATTCGATTCGGTTAACTTTCCTTTTTTTTTAAATTTTTTGTTCGGTTAAAATTGTACATAAAGTGGCTAAATAAAGTACAGCAATACGAGCTACGTTTTAAGGGTGGAAGTTTGAAGAGCGAAACGCATCGGATTGGTTTTGGATTTTTGATTGTGGGGCATTTAAATACGGAGTTTGGGAGTCTGATCGATCGTCATCGGTGGCTGCATGCAACTTACCCGTACAGTCTACTATCTCGAAAGGTCCTTGGGGCATACATGGAACGTATTTCAAGTCAGAGGGTTATTTTCGAACTTATGGTGCGTTTAAACGAAACGAAAGAGTAACCAAATTTCAAAACAAAACAAATCAAAAGGTCTGGGCCCTGAACCGATCCTGAGAACAGATCGCGATCGGTTCACTGGCCCAGTGGCTATGCAAACCGCATAATAAACTTCCAAGTAATGGTAATCGAGGGCAGAGTATACAGATTCGGTTTTGAGTTTCTAGTTCTTGTGTCTTGGGTTAGAAATCGGGCTGAAGTTACGTATATGAGCTGAAGAACTGTTCGACATATTGCCATGATTCGTGTGCAGATTAAAACTAGGGAGCGGGCGAGTGCAAGGACCACGTACCTGCCGTTGTTGTGCCGGAAGAGGGCCAGGATCTCCTCGAAGGTCTTGTTCTTCGTCTCGGGCACCTTCTTGTACGTGAATATCCAGAAGATGGCCAGGAACACGCTGAACGGCAAGAACGTGTAGTTCTCCAGGGCAGTCTGAGAAAAGGATTCCAGAATGGTCATGATTTACAATAAATTTATAAAACAATAAGCAATATATTCGCTTCTTTCAAGAATGATAGGTTAAACTTCAAATAGTTATAATTGGTATTAAATAAACCATTTTTAAATGTAAAGATATATAATGAATTTATAAAACAATAAGCAATATATTCGCTGCTTTCTAGAATGATAGGTTGAACTACAAATAAATAGTTGTGATTGGTATTAAATAAACCATTTTTAAACGTAAAGATATATAATAAATTTATAAAACAATAAGCACAATGTTTTTGCTTTTTTCTAGAATGATAGGTTAAGCTACAAATAAATAGTTATAATTGGTATTAAATAAACCATTTTTAAATGTTAAGATATATAATGGATTTACAAAACAATAAGCAATATATTGGCTTCTTTCAAGAATGATAGCTTAGACTCCAAATAAATAGTTGTGATTGGTATTAAATAAACCATTTTTAAATGTAATAGTATAGTTATATAGTTAGGTTTCACTGACCTTCATGCTGGGGAATCCGATGCCGACCACAAAGTTGGCCATCCAGTTGACCAGCACCGCGATGGCCATGGCACTGGGCCGGGGTCCCTGCGAGAAGAGCTCGGCGGTGATCATCCACGGAATGGAGCCGGGTCCCACCGCAAAGAAGACGACGAAGCCGAGGGTGGCCACCACCGAGAGGTAGGACATCCAGTCGATCATTTCCTGCACATAACCAAAGAACTCCTATACAAAATGCATAGTACTCGCATTCTCGATGTAGGCTTTTATTTTTCTCTACTCGCGTTCAACGAATTGTCTTCGAAATAATACGTTTAAATGGTAAATGGTGACCCCCTGGAAAACCTAGTCTCTTTTATGCATGAGTTGGTTAGCGTATCGAAAGTAGTAAATAAAGTGGATTGTATTTGCCGGCTGCGCTGGTCTCGTTTTCTTGGTTCTCAAAGAGTTGACCTTTGAACTGCCGCTCGAGTCTTTCTGGGCCTGAAGAACGCTTAGGAATGCTTAGTTGTACGTAAGTTAGCTATATCTTACACAATTACCAAACAAAACAAATTAAATGAAGGCTTTTGTCTCATTGAGAGTGTTGTTTCTGTGTGTGGGCTTCGTGTGTGAGAGGTGGTGACCTCTAAAGCGATTTCAGCGCGGTGCTCTGCTCTATTTTCTCCATTTTTTTTTTTGGGAGCTGTGGAACTGGTGCCCGAAAAACTTTTGCAGAGTTGAGTGTGTTGGTTTTTTGGTTTTTCGAAACTTTTGCTTGCCTTTGAAACTGTGTGGATTGCCTCTAGCGAAAATAAAGCACACAAATCACAAATCATAAATCACAAACAGAACGAATTCGTCAACTGATTCGAGTGAGTGTTTTGTGGGGCGAAAGCCTGCCAAGTCGAGAATAGCTCTAATTAGGGGCGGGACAATTGCACAGGACAGCTGGCGGGGAAATTTAAATCGGGAAGCTGTGTTTTAATGCTTGACATAGTAAAACACAACTGCCTGAATAAATCCAAATGTAAAGGCCAGCTCTCAGGTGCAACAACTTAGCCTAGGCAACTGAAAAACTAAATAAATCCAACGGCAAGCATCGTGCAAAAGTGTTTTAAAAAAAAGCGAACTCAGTAAAAAATTCATAAATAATCACAACTAATGCCAAAGCATTCCAAAGCTAATCATGCATGGTCCGCAATCTGCGTGAGCATATTTTAAGCTCGCAGATACAGGACATAATTAATAACTAAAGCGACCAAGTGTTGGCCTATAAATTAAACACAAAAACACGTCTATGACTTAAATGCAATGCATCAATGTAAACACGGAAAAAAAGCTACATTTAATGGCTGAGGGAGAGTCATAAATCCAACTTGTTATAAATTCAAATATATCTCACATCAATAATTTATAGAAATACGCGCGGGACAACTGTCATGCTTTGTATCTGTGTGTTTGTGTCTGAGTGTTGACTGTGTGTGTGTGTGTTTGTGAGTGAGAGTGTTTTTGTGCTGCTGTGTGTGTGGCTGTTTTTTTTTTTTGTACCTGGTTTTGGGGGCTCGACGGGGTTAAACACAACTTCATGCATAAAATATTTATATCAATATTCAAATATTTATAAAGACACGCACGCGTGGGGAGTTTTCGGGAAATGGGATAAGTTCTAGCGTCTCTAGAAGTTCAGAGCCAAATGCAAATCACTAAATGGACGGGGGATTAACAAATGCAAACCCAAACTGGCAGGCACTCTAGCATTCGCATTCGCATTCGCAGGCAGGGCTCTTTACACTTGCGGGAGCAGAAGCGCAGTGTCCTGGAAGCCCCTATACTTGCCTTGATCAGGAACGAAATGGTGATGAAGATGGAGAAGATGAACATTCCGCCCAGGCCGTAGAGGTGCAGGGTCCGGCGACCCGTGCGATCCATCAGCGGAATGGACACGAGGGTCATAACAACCTGTGGGTGGGAAAACAAATTATTATTCCGAATTATTATGCACATTATGAGTTACATCTTTTCATCTACCATAAACCATTGAAATATACTTTTCTGAATTATATTTTTAGAAAGAAAACCCTATAGACCTACCATTATAGCACCGATGCCTATCGTGGCGAACTTGGCGCTCTCCTCAGTCAATCCGGAGCTCATGAAGAGCGACGTGGAGTAGTAGAAGACGGCGTTGATGCCGCTGAACTGCTGACTCAGCTGCATCACAATGCCGATGATTAGGGGAGGACGCAGGGTGGGCGAGCATATCAGCTCCATGGTCGATATGTGGCTCTCGGACTGCTGGGCCCGCTCCTCGGCCCGCATCTCTTCGATGTCCTCCTCCACGGAGCCAGAGGCTCGCAGTCGTCGCAGGGCTAGAAAATATATAATATAGTATAATAATTTTAAATTTAAATACACAGAAAATATAAACTGTACTGTTTTCTTTTTAAAAGTGATTATTTAAATTTAAAAATCATCTCACCCTTGCGCGCCTCCTCCTCCCACTGCTTGGTGATGAGCAGATATCTGGGCGATTCCGGGCAGACGGGCAGCAGGATGAGTTGCAGGATTGCCGGACAAATGGCCAGGCCCAGAAGGATGGGCCAGCCCTCGTTGGTGCCCAGGATCTGCTCGATGCCCAGCACTTGGGATAATAGTAAACCTACAGTCACAGCCAATTGATTAACAGTACCTAAGCCACCGCGCAGATTCAGTGGCGCTATCTCAGAGATGTACATGGGCACCAGCGACGTGTTGAGGCCTATAAACAGAATACAGATCAATTATTTGATAAAAAATATATTAAGAAGGAGCTCAGTACTAACCGCAATTAACACCAATTATAAATCGGCCAAGGAATAACATTTCATAGGAATGACTAACTTTGGTAAATCCCATCAAACAGGCGCCGGCAATTCCGAGCACATTGTTTAACAGTAGGCCGCCTTTTCTGTAATTCGAAGAATAGTATAATTAGTAAAGATTTAAATCATATATTATTTAACTTATTAATTAATATATTTTGTTATAATAATTTACCTGCCAAAGCGGTTGGCCATCCAGCCGCCGCTGAAACCGCCCAGCATTCCGCCGATGGCGAATATGGATACCGCCACCGAGTAGAGCTGCTGGATGAACTCCTCGCTGATGTCCTCGCCGTAGCGGTCCTTGTAGACGTCCTTCATGAAGTTCTCGATGTTCTTCTCGGGCGCGTTGATCACGCCGGTGTTGTAGCCAAACTGCAGCATGCCCAGCACCGCCGAGAATATCGAGTAGGTGAGGAAGAAGGTGAGACCCTGCAAGTTTGGATTGCGAATCCCATTAGTGGTGAACAACTCTGCGGGGGGTCGGGGGTCAAGGTTAGGGGGTTGGGACGGTGGGGATTCGGTGGGGGTTGTGCGGGCGGGTCCATCAAACGCATTGCAATCGAGTGTGCGGCAAGGAAACCAAAGCTTTCTCTTTGGATAAGGCCAATTATCTAATCGAAACTTAAAGTTAAGAAACCATAAGATTAAATCTGATGAATGAGAGTGTTTGGATGTTGGAAACCATACATAAAATCAAAGAAATCAAACCAAATAAAAAGGCATCACAACTTTTAATATACATTTACTCCATTTTTGCTACAAAACTTAAGAGCTAAAAACAATCGTAAGTTCCTTTAAATTACGTTGATGAAGAAGCCGTCTGTACGTGTGCACTACACTCAGATAAATCTATGCTAATTGCTTGCTTTAAATATGACAAATTTATCTGAGTGCAGGCAAAAACTGAGACCAATTCGAAGAGCATTTGCATCTGTCCATCATGGTGGCAGTTTTTGCCGTCAGTGGTTCGAGTGTTGCTGTGTGAATGGATGTTCGGGTGGTTTTGGGTGGTTGGTTGGTCTTGGTTGTGTGGTTGTCTGGCTCTGGGTTGTTGGTTGTTGGTAGTTGGTTCTTGGTGTTTCGGTTTGTTCATGAATAGAGAAATGAAATTCAAGTATTTAATTACACAACATGGCAAATAATTTAAGCTACAAACTTGTTCTAAAAGTCTTAGCTTCCGTCTGTGCGTGTGCTCCTCCAGTCGATCGACGTATTCGCGCAGCTCCTCGATCTCCTCCTTCACCTGCTGCACGGTGTCCAGTTCGTGTTTGATCGCCACCATGTCGCGCTTTACCTGGTTATTATAAACAAACATTATTTATAAAGTTTTTTGACAAAAAATCCCTAAATACTTGTAGTTTTATATAGATTTTTATCATTTTTTTTAAAACAAGATTGTGTAAAGATTTTACATTCAAAAACAACCTAAATGTATTTTCTGTTAAACAAGCTTATAAATTAGAGACAACACCTTTTTAAAGAAATTTTCACAAACTGAATAATTTATGAATTTCAATAAATGTTCAAACATAAACCAAATTTATGGAAACAACAATTTTGTAATTACTTATTTAATCTTTTATAAACAGCTTATGTTACCCTATTCAACAGAATCTATTTATTGGCAATTAAAGGAAATAAATTGAATTTGGACCCCTTAAATTTGTCATTAATTGTGTTATAAATAAATTACCAATAATGGGGAAAATATACAAAACTCTTTTCTGATAGGATGTTTTCGATTCTATTAATTTTTTATAATCTCTGATTTCAGAAATTTGTTACAACGTTTAAGCCCTACAATTTACTATATTTTAAGCACTCACCTCGGACACTTCGCTCTGGCAGCTCTCCACGGACTTGGTCAGCTCCTGGAGCTGGGTGCGGATCTCGCACAGGGCGACCGTCGTCTCCAGGTGTCGATCTCCGCGCTGCAGCTCATCGAGTTTCGCTGACAGATTCATGCTCATCACGCTAACTTGCTTTTGCAAACTGCAGTAGTTTCCGCCGATTGCAGATCGCGTTCAAAGAAAGTATATTAAGGAAAAACGCATTTTAGTCGTACGTATTCCTTGGAAATGCCATTGGGTTCATTCCTTAAGGTACTTATTGCACTACGGTCGCTACTACACAAAGACCGAAACCGAAACTGAGACTGAGACGGAGTTACTTGGCGTATACGTAATTTATTTCGCTCTGGCGCAAAGTAAACGCAAAACGTAAACGAAACACACACAAAACGAAATTATTTATGACCGCTTGCATTAAAATTTACTGAGCTATGCAATTATTGAGGAATGAAGCAACATAAATTTTATGGGCCACAGCTCTGAACTGAAACAGCAACAGAAACAAAAACTGAAACTGAAACAGAAACAGAAGCAGAAAACGCACGCCAGTTGTCGAGTTCCTTAGTCACTCAGCTCCTTGGGCAGAGGTCCAAGAAAGGATTTCAACGTCGGGCGGTTGGGGAAAACAACAATAATAACCGAGCCAGGCCACTAAGTACATAAAAAGTAACTTAAAGCAAAATGTTGGCATATTTCGTTAAGGTTAAGGCAAGAGTAATGTGCAATGCACGAGAATGATAAGTTGACGGCATTATATATACTTAAGCAGGCTGAGCTCTGAACTCTGGCTGGGATGGCCGCCCCATTTGTTTTGCTCTTTGGCTGGCAACTCTTTCGCCGGAATGGATGGATGGATAGCTCCTGTCATAGTTGTGGCTCTAATCCTCTGTATTTACAGTTTCCTTTCAAATGCATCAAATTTACATTTTTAGCAGCCGCAAAAGCCGGTGAAAGTAAATCGGATATGCTGCTTGCACTATACGTTCAGTTGTTAAGCTAAAAACGCTTTTATTTTTAATAAAAACCTTTTTGCATTCTTAAAAATATTTCAAGAAAGTAACATTTATACATACACAATATTATGCAAATGTAAAACTGACTAAGTATTTACTGCAGAAAACAATTCCAAGTTGTTGTATCAATTTGATCATGTAGTATTGCTTAACTTGGCTTATTTAAGTTTGATATTGATAAGCTTGACTGTATATCTATATGTATCCCTATTGAATATCTGCTCGAATCGGAAGGTGCACTTTGGGCTTTGTTTGTTCGGGGGTGGCATCTAAATCAAAACGCAACAAAAGTTGTGGGCGACAGTTGCCGGCGGATGGCGATGTGCCGATTATCCACCCCCTTTCCCTTTTCCCCTCCACCCTTCCATGCATTGCGCATACGACACGTGGGCCACGGCGGGCGAGGCCGTGCTTGAGTTGCCTGCGCATTATGTTAATGCAACGCCTATGCGAAGAGGGGGGATGGGTTGGACCTCTGGGGGAAGAGGGGGGATTGCTATCGTTAGTACTGTTATTGTTTTGCATTTCACGGACATTGTTGTGCCGAGTATAAAAGGATTATTTTATGCATACATCAGGCAGCGAAACCGAATCCGAATCCGAAACAGAATCGAGAGCAAAACCAGAACCAGGACGAGAGATTCGAGCGCATCCTGTGCAAGTTATTGTTCTCTGCGAAAACAATTGCCGCATGTGTGCATGGCTGTGCTCCGTCTGTCAGCTGCAGGAATTTTCGGTTCTGTGTAAGGGATTTGTATACGTGAGCATTTAATAAATTTTCTGCCAATTTCTCCATGGCTTGTGCATTCATTAAAGTCAGCAGTACGTGCCGGCATCCGTCGGCTGGCTAAAAGGATTCCGTTTTCGGGCTGTTCATTTTGTCAAAAAGCTGCGCGCAGTTTTAGGAATATCAAATTTTGACAAGGCAAAAAGCTCTCATGCCCTCAGCGGATTATTCTTTGGCAGGATTTCAATCACATTAACCCTTCAAAAGTCCACAGCCAGAGCTCGGCAATCCCGGCATCCGTCAAATTTTCAGACTCGCGCTTCACTTACAGATAAAGTTCAGTTCAGTTCTCAGTGCACACAATAAATTCAGCGAATAAATTAAAATCAAAATCGATTGTTCTCATACATCTCATGTAGCTGTATGTAAATACATCAATCAGATCGAATCGGGATATTCGGGGAGTCGGGAAGTCGGGTTGTTGGGATTTCGGGATGCAGGGGGGTGTTCAAACCAATTGGCATATAGGACATTCACCAAACGTTGCAATTTGTTGTTTTTCAGCCTATTTTTGTTGACTCTTATAAACTTTTGCTGGAGCCCACGTTGCGATGACATTTGTAAATCAATTTAAATTTGTTTGTGGTCTCGTTGATTTCGTTTTGCACGGCAATATTTTATGATTGGCATGATTAACATTTTGTTTGGTTTATGAAATTGTTTAAATTCGCTTCGAGAACAGATATGCAAAGCCAAATGAACGGATGAACAGAAAAAATGTCTCTACAAACGTCATGTGACTGTAGTTTCTGTTTGATACAGTTTTCGCTCAGTTTTTGATTTGATTTTGTTGTTGGTAATTTTGGTGAAGGGACCGTTACGCCAATTAGTCTGGGGTCTGTTGTATGCAAACTTTAAACATCGAGCATTAAACCATAAAAAGTGTACAGTAATTCATTGCAGCAACGAAACAAATGGAACCGAAAACACAAACAACACAAACACAAATGGAGGACATTAAACGAGTTTAAAAATCCTGAAAATATTGTGTGACTGACTGACTGACTGAGTGATGCATTGGGCAGGGGATTACGCACGAAAAGGGGTTTTCAAGGGTTTAAGGGGTTAAGCTAATTATGAACTTGATGACATGCGGGTGGAGGGGCGGATGGAGAGGCGGGTGGCTGGTGGGGGGAAAAACAGGGGGAGAGAGAGCTGCTGAAGTGGCCAACCGCAGGCTGATTGACTGCCCGGCCAAAGGATGTTTGTCAATGGCTTTACATGCCTGCGCACGAGTGTGGGTGAGTGTGTGCGCGAGTGTGCGTGTGTGTGTGTGTGGTGCGAACAGCGACTTAATGGCCCTCAAACACTTTTTGGCATGTCGTAAAAAACACAACATTCTGCCAGCCGCACAGAGAAAAATAAATCATTCTGGAGTCATAACAACATTTATTCGAGGTCTAAATAATAAACAACAATTTATTTTCCAAATTTTAAGTCATCTCATTTTCTTTTATATTTCGTTTTAATCAATATTTAATTATGAATAAGTTCTTAACAAATCCTTGTAATTTTTCTGCCTCTGTGCAAGAAAAGCCGTCAGATTGTTGTGACTGGTTTTAAGGGCCTTTTGAGTAGTGCCAAATGGGAAATTCACACTCGCACCCACACAACCATAATCTTCCCTCTCTCTCGCTCTATTTTTCCCATCCAAATGATGAGCACGTTTTGGAAACTAAGTTAATTTATTTGAACATAATTGAATTGTAATTGCGTTCCATGCAAATGGTAGCGAAGTGTCTGGTTTTTGGGCAAATATTCTAATAATTAACAAATCAATTTGATGGGCTACGAGTGCCAAAAAGAGAGAGTAGTGCAGAGTGCAGAGAAAAGGGGCATAGTTATTGGATTATTATTGCATTACAACATGACGAGGGGGGTAAAGAGGGGGGAAGAGCAAAAATATTTAGATTCGTAATTGAAGTTAGTTGGTTGTAATTGCATACTCATTGAGTGGCGTGAATACCAGGCCACTTTGCGTGTGGCTGTTGTTGTATCGTTGAGATGTTGTTGTTGTTCATGGAGTTCATTGAGTTATTGTGGCAGTTTTTGTGGTTCAAGGGTCATTTGGGGATTGGATGATAAAGAACACGTATAGACATTGTACAACATGTGAGGCAAGGGGTTTAAGTGCTGGTTCAGAAATGCATTTAGTCAGAATTCCAGGCAGATTCCTTCAAAATGCATTTCTGACGATTGCAGACATTTACACAGTTTAAGAAAATACATAAATGGTATACACTAGGGATTAAAAAAAATAGCGATACTAAAATACCGCTTAAATAACAGTTGCTAATAAACAAATGTACAATTTATTTACTCTATATAGTTTACCATTTGTTATAATACTTATTATTTTGTTTTTTTAAGATCTTTCCAATTATTCTTAGTTTTTCATCCCTTGTATATAGACGAGTGATTGACAGATATTGTGGAAATGGATTTACAGACACCTGTGCTCAATCACTCGGTGACATTTAAGCAAAGTAAATACGTTTCGATTGAGTGGCAATTTTGTACAGCGCGTGACATAGCAACAAAGGCGGTTTGTGAAAGCAAAAATTCAGAAATCGGCAAACAAACGCTGCTAATTAACATTTTTTAATTAACGATGAGAAGCCATTTAAGTTGCACGAATATAATTATTAATATGACACACAATCAGCTCGAATGGATGATGGTTAATGAAACGAAAGAACAAAACCAATAGTGTGCTCGGCATACATGGCGGATGAGTGATGTTCGAATTGTATTAAATCGCATCGCGATCTTGTCGCTATTGTTAATGTTAAAGTTAATTAATTTTTAGATTAACTCTATTGTTATGTACCTGGGTGGCATTGTGCCCATCATTTTGTTGGCTTTTCTTTGGACTCCGTCGGTAAATCGATTTAGTTAAAGAGTCTCTTTTACTATATAATTATATCTCTAGTTGGTACATATAGTTGCTTTGCTTTCTCTTCGCTTTTATTTCTCGCTTATCGTTTCAATTCTTTTCTTTTCTTTTCGGGGTTTGGTGAATGTCGTATGTGGCCGCGGCTGAGTTATTGGGGTTTATTTATGATATCTGTTCGTTTGATTTTGTCGGGGAGGTTGCGCAACAAAAACAACACAACACAAAGGCCCTCAATGAATAATTGACAGTCTAAGGACACACGCAGGACACTTAACTGAACATAACTTGCGCAAATCTGTGTGGGAGGAGAACATTAAACATATACATTGCATATTTGCTCGTTAATATATCACAAGCCACAGAAATTAAAACCGAAAAATTGGGCTGGGGGGCTTATCCTTGTTTTCGTAAGCACACCCACAGTAATAGCGCACGAAAACACACAAATTAAAATGGAAATTAAAATTTATTTACGCCCGAAACTAAAAATATATATCCGTTCATTATTTGTTTAATAAATTAAATAAACATGGCGCACACAAATAATTGCTGTGTTTATTTGTCTAACTGAATGCGGATATTTATGGCCGGCAATCCTCCGGTCGCGCCTGCAAATTAATGGCCCGTAATGAGCTCCTGGCCCCGAAAAGCCATCGAGTCCATTACGAGGTCACTTGGCAGCGGATCGGGGTGCTGTGGGCTGGAAAACCAAACCAAACCAAACCCTTTCGGGGATTCACTTTCTACGTACTCGAGCAGCAATTGGCGCAGTGTGGCCTCGTCCTCGCCATGACATCTCAACCTAGACTCGCGGTCTCGATCATCCCGACTCGAGTGACGTTGCCTCTTGGGGGCGTAGCTGAAGGAGTGGCGATAGAACCTTCCGTTGTTTATGTTACCTCCACGATAGGCGTCTACAGTTGCAGGTTGTTGTGGATAGAGATAATTATATCTGTGATCTTAAGGAGTGTTATGGGTAGAGTCCTGCATGAAACATCTATAAACCATAATTTCCTTTTTATGCTAATAAAGAAATGCATCTAATTAATTTCGCCAAACGTTCGCTTAGCAGAATTATCATAAATAAACCTACTAAAAAACTAAAACCCTACAAAGGTAGTGACCATATAAACTAGCTTCATTTTCTTAGGCAACTTAGATAATAATAGTGCTCATGCAGGACTCTATTTAAAGGTGTACCCACCTTCGGGTCGCAAGCGCACAGGCGGTGAGGTCAGCTTGAGTTGTGTTGACGTTGTTGTGGGCGGAGTCTTACGTCGACCACCAAAAACATAATCGTAGGAATCTTCGCTCAAATTGGACACTGCCAGGCATGAGGAAATTTTGTTAAGAATTAAGTTTTTTAAAGGATGCACTCCTTAAGAGCAAACGAAAACACAGAGAGCGTCACAAACTGAACCGAAATTAAACCAAACTCAAAAATAATATCACAAGCTGTTTGTTTCTTTGTTCGTTATCTCGTATACTCACTCTACACATTATATATGATACACAAATATTGTTAAAAATAAGACAAACATTAAAATAAACATAAGAACCAAGGCAAATATTTAGATTGTCGAGATTTTGTCATTTTCATTTTGTTGTTATTGTAGTTCGTTGTTGTAGTTGTTGTTGTAGGTTGTTGTTGGTTGTATGGAAGAATAGAGAGCACAAAATGTGGCAATTTGTTAGCTGGAATTTGATTTTCACTTTGGACAGCACACAAAAAGGCAGCTAAAGGTGGACACACAGGTAATTTTTGCGTTCAAAAAATCGTTACAAAGCGGCTGTCGCAGCCTTTGGTTATTTTTGGTATTTTGTTTTTTTGTTTTTCGCTTCGCTCTAGTAAACAATTTCAGTAAAAAACACACAGAGAGCAGAGGCAGAGCAGCGTTGAAAACTACTTGAAAAATTCGAAACTTTGAAATGATTCGGTTTTGTGGCAACACAAACAAAAACTGTTGTTCTATATAGTCAAAAAGTGGCAATACAAACGGCAAGCAAATATACGAGAACTAGACAAATAGAGAGACAGAGAGAAAAAAGTTGTGTGTATGTATGTGGGAAAGAGAGAGAGAGATAGCATCAGCTTCGATATATTAATGGACGACTGTTTGACTGATTGGTTTTTGAGATTTGACTGATTGATTGATTGACGAGTGCTGCTGAAAATGCTAAACAAAAGTTAGGGACAAAATGCGGTTCTCTGTGGCAATGTTCGAGTGTAGCTAGTGGTATTCGTACAGGGTTACACCTGTACAGGTGAGCTATGAGTGTGTTCGTGATGCAGGCGACGTATGTGTATGTGTGAGTGGGTGAGTGAGTGTGTGTGTATGTTGTTGTTGCTGTTGTGAAAGAAAAACAAATCAACGAACCGACCAATCAAAGAACCCAATCTACACACCAATTAAAGTTGCAATCAATTGGAAATGGTACAACAGAAAAGAAAACCAAATAAGAATTTTTACAAAAGGTGCAACAGTAACTTTATAATGGGCGAAAAGGCTATACAAAAACTTGGGCAAACTCAATGGGAAGCAGAAAAAAAAAATAAAAATGGGGAACAAACAAATAACGGCCAAACAAAAGGGAAAGAACTGCAGGCAAACAACGAGGAGAACAAATACAAATTGGCGCATATATGTACAGCAAATATACATATACATATATATGCGGGAAATAATTCAAACAATCCGAAAATAATTGGCGGCACCTGGAAACACGCTCAGCGGCTGGAGCACTTGGGTGGAACGCAGTGGCGGTGGTAGCGGTGGCAGCTGTCCAAACGGATCTTGATCGTTCGAGATGGAAGACGTGGGCGGTGAGATCATCGATATGTCACCAATGGTCGCCATGTCATTACTCTGGCCAGCTGTTCCATTGACCATTATGCGAAGGATGCAATTGAAATGGATAAAAGTACAATTTTATTAGCTTGAATCTGCACTTTGTTCAAAAAACGCAAAATTTTATTAATTAAGAGGGGTATCTTTTTATAAGAAAGTAACTTAAGTCAGTTACATCATCTGCGATCCCAAGTAAAATACCCAATATGTTTGATTCCAAAAAAATTGATTCATATTTGAATATAAAATGGTTGTGTTGCAATAGTTGAAATCAATATTCAAGGACCCTGTAGTTAAATTTCCCCAGTGCAGCCGCCTTTGCTGCATTCAATGCGAAATCAGCAGGACTCCGGCAGGATTCGAAGTGGAGCATGGAGCATGCAAAGGCTTTTAATTTTGTCCCGCACGTGGCAGTTCGGTCACAAATAACAGCAAAGGAGTGCGGCAAGGAGTGGGAGAAGGATGAAGGCGATGGAAAAGGAAAAGAAGGAGGGAAGTGGAAGCCAGGCAGCGCAAAGTAAAAGGTGTGCGGCGCCATATTTCGCACATAAATTGTATGCCAGCCCTGGATGCCCGAGTCCGGCAAAAGAGGACGAGGGACCAAGGACCAAGGAACAACGAGGAAGGACGAAGGACGAAGGAGACCAAAAGGCAGCTGCACGAGATGGCGTCGCATGCATGGATGCATACGCAAAGCATTTACGCCAACGCCTCGACAGTCACGGACCGGAGAAAGGGAGCAGAGAATTGGAGAAAGGGAGAAGGGGAGGAAGGGAGAGGGGTGGCTCGAAGTCCCGCCTCCTAAAGCCACATATGTGGGCGGGCGATCCGCAGGATTTGGCCAGGCCGCGTGCCACTGCATAAAATAGATTTCCATTCTGATTCGCAGGCAGGGGAAAAATTCAAGGAATCCTGCGGTGGATGGTGGATACCTTTTGCTGGGGCAAAAAACTTGTTATTCCAACAACATTAAAAAATTATTATGATTCTGTATTGCTTATTGCTTTATTCATTTGCAAGCCACAGTTCTGTGTCCCTTTGAAATATTTCTGCTTCAGTGTCTGCACGGACAATTCCGAAGTTCAAGCTGCAGTCTTGCAAGGTTTTCCCGCAAAGGATCAATCAGGGCTCAATGGCCGAGAACTTACCCTGGGAAACCTCACACAGTTCTCCCTTTTTCCATGGTGCATGCTTTTTTCCCCATCTATTCCATTTTTTTCGCATTGGCCATACGTAAACCTTTGCAGGACTTAAAAAATGCCTCGTTGGCTGCGATAAATGTGCCCATGGCTCCTCGTTGTTGTGGTTTTGCCTTAGGCCCCCAACCCTTTGCCCCTTTAACCACCCACTTGAGCCTCGACCCATACTCACACACACTCAGACAACACACACCCGGGCAAACACACTATAGTTGGCACACAACAACAACAACAACAAAAACAAAAACAGCAACACGTGCTGCTTTTTCTACGGTTCGGTATTTTGAATTTTTATTATTTGCAATTTGCGTTAATGTTGTGGAAAAAAGCATGTGGCTGTTATGGCTTTGGCTTTAGCTCATGTCCTTCCCCCCTCCCCCCATCTTGGCATATTGAATGGCCATTTGTGTCACACACAAACACACACACACACACACACACACACTGGCGGGGAAAAAGAGAGGCACACGCACACACTAATGACCTTTTCATGGCCGCTCCATCCAACGGATGAATGCAAGAAATGTGGGCAAATTATGGGCCCCGCAAAGGGATCCTCCTCGTCCTTTGGCCCTTCCTCGTTATTGACAAAATGATTTGTAAACATTTTGCGCATCATTAGTTGGCACTGCTCGGAAGATATGGCCTGCATTCTCCCCTGGCATTTAACCGATTAAAATCGTGCATGCATCAAGCGACTGCCATTTCCCTGAAGTTCGGGAAAATCCCTTGACACCGCGAAAAAATGCAATAAAACAGGGGTTTTATTTCAACTTTTATTTGGTGCGATTTGTAAACAAAATTCAATTTTAAATTTCAAATGGAAGCCAAACTTTTTATAGGCTTATTCAACCATTTTAGGAAATGGTTTAAATACAATTCCGACATCCAACTATCTAACTATGTTTTCCACACGAACGAGATTGTTCTTAGTCTCAATAACAAATCAATTTATTTTTCTACTACCACTAATAGTTTTCCGAACTATAAAGCAATCGCTTATTTCTTTCTCTGTCGCCTCCTTGCACCTGCTTAATGTTAAACTCTTTGCTGACACCGCAGAAAGAGGCAAAATAAAAATGAACTGCTTCCGGCTTCAATTGCATCAATGGAACGAATGGACGGAGAGGAGGAGGAGTTGCCTCCCCCCAGGAGAGCTGGGGAAATGAGGGGGAAAGGTGGAGGCCTGGCAAATATTTGCTTAAATTTGTGCTGAGGTTAAGCTTTTTGTTTGCCCTGCCTTTGCGGAGGCTCTCGGCAGAGCAAAGTTGATGACATCCAATGGCCTCCGCCGCAGTCTGGGGCAGTTGCATCAGCTTCGCCAGTTCAGTTCGCCTGTCCTGTGTCCCGTGTCCTGTGCCCTATGTCCTCCGTCCCCTGACATAGAAAAATAGTTGCGGAGAAAGGCGAGGAAGTGCGGAAGAATTGGGGGGAAGGGCAGAGGCGGAAGGGGGTGTGCATTCGGGGGCCAGAAGCTGCGTTTTGACTGCATGCCAAGGCTGATACTCCACTGACGATGCTGATGACGCAAGCAGTCAGCCAGGCTATTGTGTGTGTGTCTGTGTATGTGTGTGTGTGCGAGCATTGAGCAGTTTTTCATAGGCGAGTGAGTATGTGTGTGTGTGTGTGAGGGCCCGGCTCCACACACAGAAAAATATCACAAATTTCGCATAAGCAGCACACATATATAACCTGCTGGAGTCCAAACTTTATAGCCAATCAAGATTGGAGCTGATAAAGTCAGAAAGGCAAAAGTTATTAGCCAGGATAACGGTAAAGAGCTTTAGGACGATGACTTGGACCAGTTTTATAAAATTGTATTCTTACTTTCGGAGAGATAGATACAATTAAGGAAGTATTTATAAATGAATATTCAAGAATTTCTGATTGGAGGTAAGAAATTCAATTAAATATCTCCGCAATAATTTGGATAAAAGTTTCTTAAAGGTGTATTTCTATAGTAAGTTTAATATTCAACTACTAGAATTTTTATGACAAAGTGTTCACATGTTCATTTATACTGACTTAGTAAGTCATACTAACTCTGCCTCCATTTTCCTATGATTTCCTTCACAAGTTATTGATTTTATTTCACCAATTTTCTCATTGTGCAGCAACTTTGAGGCCTGGCCATTGACAAAAAGTTGCCTGCAGTCTCTAGACTGGCCGGTTCTGGCAGTTATGACAAGTGGCCTCCAACTCGGCGCACAGCTCTCGTCCTGCCCATCGGGAGTAGTCGGGCATTATGCCATCCTTGTGGCATAATTCTAGGCTGGCCACGATAATTGATACTCTTTGTCAGCTTCGAAGCCGCCTCTCGACGGCAAATCAAATTAGCGAACCGAATTGAAAACTTATTTATGCATGAGAGGCCGCTAATCATTTTTCGAGAGGGGAGTAATTTAAAATTCAATTAACTAGACGCACAAACTGAAAGGGTAAACCCAAACCACCCACTTTGCCCGATATATACTTGGAGATATTACTCCCATTCAGAGACATAATCATGTGCGAGTTGAATGATGAAAAGCCTTTTAACTCGGCTTCTTTGGGGGCTTTTGTCTTAAACGTTTTGTCCACTAAATGCATGATTGATTAAATGAAATAAAAGCCCCTCGAACACAAAATGCACGCACACACCTGCAGCCGCAGATAGAATGCAGGATGTTCAAGTTGTTGTTGCTGTGTGTTCATTAATAGGCTTTTGTCTCTGCTCACCGCAAAAATTATTGCTGCTCAAATGCACTTGAATGTGGCATTGTTTCGCCCCCTGCTTCGATTGAAGTGCATGCAGCTCCGACCGCAAAATCCTTAAATGCTGCATTAATGGCCGCACACACGTAAGCCTCAGGAAACCCTTGCCCAAGGATCGGGTAAGCCGAGGCACCCCACTCCTGCCGGGACGCTGCCCACAGCTGCCCAGTCCTGGCCCTCGATGATATCACAAATGAAATACACTTGCACGTTTGCTTAACTCGAAATTCAACAAATATTGAGGGGCGCAGGGCGTGGCAGCTGCAGGATAACTGTGGATAGCTGTGTAAGCACGTGTCTGGGTCGAGCACTTGACAATCAGCACTCACAACAGCCGGCAGTCGACGGCACGGCCAAAAGGGATAGACAGACGAAGGATTCGGGCTTCGAACAGTGGAGCAGTGGAGAAACAAAAAAAAAAGGAGCAGTACAGTACGGTGAGGAATTTTAATAAGATAAACTTAAAAGCTTAACATGACAACTATTTTACAAAAGTGGATAAACCCGTAAGTTCTCAAAACTGTCAGTATTTAAAAATATTTTCCCTTTTTTCAACAAGATTTTACTTAAATATACAAAGCCATTTAAGGTAATTTAAGGCCATTTAATAAATTCGCAAAAACGTTGCCTACTTTTCAGCTTACAAAAACATTACAAACACCATCAATGACAGCATTCCTGGAATCACTTTGTGGAAACTTATGTCTTATTAAATAAATGTAATTTAATTTAAACTTAATTTAGTTTGCATTTCAGAAGGACTTTCCGAAGGGGCTCGCCAATCAGCGGGCGTTTCCACTGTCGAACAGTTTGGCAGATGGGCCTCCAGCCTGTCTTGGCTGCTGGCTTTCGGGGTGCCGCCATTGTCATTGCTGGCTGCTTGCACCAGCTCGACGCGCCCCGCATCCTTTGGATCCTTGGAGTCTTCGAGGAATATTGACAGTGCGGCCAGCTGTTAATACAAGGCAAACTCTCCATTTTCGGCTTCTATCTATCCATCCGTAGCTGTTGTTTTCGTTATTCCTGCCAGAGTTTGCACGTATTATGGCATGTGTTTATTTGTCAACACTTTCGGCCGAAACCCCAGCGAACTCCCAGGCGATCCAACGCCATTATCCGGCGCACTTAAAGAGGCATAAAGAGGTTGCAGCACACACGGCGTATGATTAATTTCGCAACGTGCAATCCATCAATGCGGGAGTTTGGGACCGTATCGCTTCATGCGGCAGTTTAAACATAACGATCTGACATTTTTCACATTATTAAAATCACTTGCGAACGATGAGTGACGAGCGCGGAAAAGTTTAATGGGGGAAAAATATCACGCATACGCAGCGTATGGCACGTTAAGAATGATGTTCGCCATAAGTGCAAACCATTTCCTTATAATTTTTACTGCAGTATCGGGACATGATGTATGGGGGACATTGGGGAAAATAAAGAGGGAGAAAGAGGGAGCCAGCGAAATAAAGTGAAACTTACCGGTGCACATAGAAAAGCCATTTCGTTGCCAGAGCCGTGAAAAAATGTGAATTATCCTACGCTCCTTCGGCTGATGACTAAAGAACTTTCGGACTCGGACTCAAAATCCTCCGCAGTTAAGTCCAATTGTCGACCGACGTGTCGTCTTAGCCTCGCTTTCCTCTCCTCGTTTTCTGGCACAGCTGCTGGTGGAATGCGCCTTTTGCCTTTCGCCTTTCGCCTTTGCTGGCAAATGATAAAAACCGGCGACGCACTGCTAGAAAATATGCATTTTTAATGCTATAAATTAGTTTTGCCGTTTGCCGTGCACCGAAGAGCTGCAAAGAGAGAGCAAAACGAAAGAATGGGTCAGAAATGCGGGAATGAAGGCAGCTTAACTCTGCAGACTGCAGCATTTTAAACTGAAGTTTATCCTCAGAGAGGTCTGTACATATTTCTAGCACTAATCACCTGATTCCATTAGCCCACCAGCTTTTATTTTGGCTTTTAGCAAAAGTGTTCTTCATATAAATACATTACTGTTTCAGTTGTCTTCTAAGCCGAGCTTAAAACTGGAGAAGGATAAGTGCAAAGCTGTTCTACGATTTTGAAAATGGAAAATTATTGTTACTGAACTAAGAAGCATCCACAAGTTAGGACAAAATCTAATTTAAAAAAAAAATAAATACTATTAAGAAGCTAAATAGTTTCCGGTTTAATCACTGAGCTCTGCATTTCAGTTGGGGAAAATTCACACTCTGGTTAAAAGGCTTTTCCGAATTAATTTGCAATGTTTATTCGTGGCTTTAAGCAACTGGCTGACATGGCAAGCGGCAAAATCACACAACCGCATTGAAATTAATGCTGTCAGCACGTCGGAGGGGGAACCCCATCCCCAAGCCCTATCCGTTTCCCCACAGGTGTACGGCTGCCAACTGGCAAAAGTCAAATTAAATTCTATTTTTAGGCGGCCAAATGCTGGCGAACCCGTCCGCTCCTCATTTTCCATTTCCCCCCCTTCGCAGCTTTGTTAATTACTCCATGAATTTGATAGTTTTCCATCAGTGCGGATCACACACGGGGCTGACGACGATGATGATGATGATGATTATGTGGAAAATGAATATGCAAATGGGGTAAAACCGTGCAAGTGTGTTTAGGTGAGTGGTGTTTTGTGGCTGCGTACAAGACGAGAGCTCTCGAGTGTATCAAATTTGGGGTTGCGCCCCCACAGTTATGGATACCAATTAGAATCTGGTTATCTGGCATTGAGCGGCGCAACGATTTGGGGATAAGTCCTCTGGTAGAGCACAAAACTGAGCTGGGAAATCTCTTGCAGCCGAAATGAGCTGGAAAATGCGAGGGGGGAATTGCCAAGCAGCTTGCACTGAATTAAAGTGCACTTCAGAAAAAAGAAGGGATACGGTTTGGAAAAAAAAACTAAGGTGAAAGCCAACGATGGTTTTCAGTATATATTATTCTTATTTTACTGAGAACACAATAATATTTATAGAAAGGTGTTCTGAGATGTAACTAATTGGTAATTATTATTTTTTAACCTTTTTTATTTTTTATTTTTTTCTGTGTGCAAACTGAATTCCCTGCAGAGTTGGCTCCGCTTCTCGGCTAATGATGCGCATGATGTGGCGGCATTGTCCTCGTCTTTGTGCCCCATTTCCCTGCCCCTTTTTCAGGCCCATCAACTTCACTTCATCAGCATCAGCATCAGCATCTGCATCTTCATCTGCAGGACTGCAGGACTGCATTTTGCCGGGCTTTATAGCACGTTTAAAGCCCCGCTGACGGGCTAACTTGACTTGACTTGGCTGTTGGATGGCCTCCAACTGTGCGCTGCACCGCATGAAATTAATATTAATCGCAGCTATGCGTTAAAGCCGCTTTTAGCTTCTAGATTGTCCTGCCTCCGCCCGCCGCACTTCCTTTGTTGCAATGTGTTTATTGTGAGTTTTATTTATTGCTCTGCGGTCGTGGCGGTTATTAAAATTGCCACTGGCAATTTGTAATCATTAGGCATTCTTGCCGCTGCCGCCGCCGCTGTCGCTGTCGCAGTTGCTGTTGCTATCTCTGTCTTGCGGTCTCGCCCCCGTCTCCTTCCACTTTCACCGCTTTCGCTTTGCACACTTTTGGGCGCCCATTTGACAGGCGGCTGACAAAAGTCAGTGACATTCTACCCAAACTAATACCCATGCACTTATGCAAATCTCACACAGACACTCCAACCTCAAAGAGAAAGAGACGGCAGGAGGTGGTGATAAAGCAGAAGAAAGAGACGGCAGACGGGACATCCTGGCACTGCCGTTTGCACATTTAACGTCCTTCTCCTTCCGCTCGCTTCCTCTCTTTCGTCCTCCTCTGTGGTATAGGCGTCTCTATCCCTCGGAATACACCCGTCTCGCTCTGTTGTAGTTGTCGTGGCAAAATTTAAGTGGCCACTTGACTAAATTAATATGACACTGCAGCAAGTGCAAGTGGCCTGGACCTGTCCTCTCCCACCCACAGTTATCTGCTCCTCTTCATTTCGCCCTGACTTTCAGCCAACAATATGAATAATTATGACGTTTAACAACTACACCCGATTTGCACATAGAAAAAATTCAACTTATCTTCTTTGCTCTCGTTTATGTCAATTTCGGTATAAAGAATTTAAAAAAAGGGATTACGGGTGGAACAAAACATTATCCCAGATTAAGCTCAATTAAAACAAAGTCTCTTGCAAAAGTTAAATTCAGAAATTGAATGCTAAAATGTTTTCCTGTGCGGTGAATTGTTAAAAGCCAGTTGAACAAATTCATTTCTTTACGTATGCTGAACTCTTTTACATTTAAATAATGTCATTAAAAAATGCTATAAAATATGATTTATTATTGTCCTATTATGCATCTCATTTTACGAACTTCTGTTTTTCAACGCAGCAATAATTTAAGTGCATTCTCTTCCGATTTGTGCTGACTTCTCCAACCAATACAATTTAATCCTATCAAATTTGCAAGGTGCGCACATCCTTTTGCTGAATTTGCGTCCAATAATTTACGAAGGCAGTTGCCACCTTCTAGGCGTATTCATCAGCACATGCGGCCACGTCCTCCTCTGTCAATTGGCTTAAATGCAATTTAATTTTCCACCTGATGATGTCCTATGTGTAGGGCCTTTGCACTTACGTGTCCTTTCCGTAGCACAACAAAAGCAAAAACAGGAAAAACCTCTATGCCGAGAAGAAGAAAATGAGAAAATCCCAGCTGGATTGTCGCCGTTGCAAACTCATTTCTTTTGCCACCCAGCCAGCGTCCTTCGCTTTTCGTCCTTTTGCCACCCACCGAATCCGCCCGGCCTCCATTCAAGTTGCTGGTCCTTTGCCATTCCCTGTCCATGTCGGTGTCACACTTGGCTCGCAGTTTTGTGGCCAGGCCAGGGCTATGAAAATAACCATAAGGCAATTGCCCGGGCGGGTTACAACATATCCGTCCCCCTTTCAGGACCCTTCCCCTTCCCCTACCCCCTCCCACTCCCCCTTTGAGGTCCTCCCCCGCTGTGGTGGCACTCATAAGCCTTGAATGGTAAATGTCAAAGTTACTCCTTAGCGTAACATTCGACACATCGGGCGTTGAGGTGTGAGTGGGTCCCTGTGTGTGTGTGTGTGTGTGTGTGTGGGTGTGCGTGGGTGTGCGTGGGTACACTTTTACACCGTAGAAAATATTTCATTGTGGGTGCCTAGAAAAGGTTTCCATCTTGGAAAATAAAAATTATCAGTATGTCTTTTAAAACAATTGTTTACAAAGCAAACTATTTTGAGATTTGGTACTTAAAAATTGTTAAGAATTTCAAGAACTTCAGGAATTAAAGTTTTGATTTATTGACATGTTTTTTTGATTTATTGACATTATAAACCCTCTTTTCCTTCAGTGCACTTGAGGGTTCCCAGCTAGGCTCTGTGCCCAGGCTGGATTACATTACACTAAGTTCTGTGCAAACACAGTTGGCGCAGTTCATTAACATGTTACATGGAGTTCAGTCGGTCTGGGGACTCGACTCCGTTCCACTTCGGATTTAGGATGCAGGATGTTGGTTGTTGGATGCTCTTTGGGTCTGTGTTTGTCTGTGCAAATGTATGCGTAAGCACAATATGTCAGCCTATCTGCCTTTCTCGATGTACGAGTGTGTGTACGAGTGTGAGTGTGTGTGAGTGCGGAGGCGTCTGTATGCTGTGCTTTATGCTTTCTTTTTCCCGATGCGGAAGTGTTGCCCCAGCCGTTGCCTCCTCCACTCGAAAGTGGAACGGCTCAAAGGCATAGAAACACACACCCGGCTTGGAGTGTGTGTTTTAGTCTAAGCTGTGCATTTAAATGTAAAGCATAAATAATTAACGGAGCCCAGATGACTGGCCTCTCGAATGCAATCCGAAGGGCGGAGCCTCTTCCCCTAATTAGGCCGCTTTCTAGATCACCATCACCATCAGCTCTATTCTCCAGTTAATTTGCAGTTTTAATGCGTTTTCCACTTGTGGCCAGTTAGAGATGGGGGCCTAAAGTTTTAACCGACATAAGGCAGCAAAGCCAAATTTCATTCCGCAAACCCATCCCACCCCCTTAACCCATTTTACGCCCCCCTTTCCCATGGGCACTTGCAACCAGCAGCCGTTGCATACTTTGCGGCGCAAACAAAACCAATCCCCAGTAGCCGCAGACCAGCCACGCCCCCTCGCCATATATGTTGCACGTCAATGAGTCCCGAAACAAAACCCCAAAAACAACTCACACACACAAAGCTGCCTGCCAGACACTCAGACAAAGATATAAACGTGCACTTGGAGAAATAATTTGTAACGTGGCATTAAGTTTCAAGAAAGCCTTTAAATTTATTATTCATAATTATTATTCCCTTCCAAAATTTTGGTTCTCCAATGTTTCAGTGGGTTCCTTGAGTTCATCGATTGTTAAATGAAATTAAAATTTTAAACTCCAAAAGTATTTTTTTCTGTATTTACAACGTAGGCTGCCATTCGTTGCAAGGCAGGCCTTAAAACTCGCAGCAATTCGTTTTAATGAATCCATCTACATCCACAGCCAGATCCACATCCACATCTCCGTTCTCGTCCTTCATGCAGACCACAGTTTGCACTGGGAAATGGAGGAGCAGCAGCAGGATGTGGGGATGGAGCTGCTACGGATGGGTTGCATCTCTGGCCGGAGAGGAACTGATTGTATCAACTTCCTAAGTGGATTTTGCAGTCCAACTGGCATTAAGCTCTTGGCCGCAGGTAATTTCGTATGAATGAAAAGCAAAAGTCTGGCCCAGCCCCATTTCCCCAGACCAACTCCAA